CACCACTACAGCCTCCCTAGTTTAATTGTTTCCTAAGGAGCAATTGAACTCCTAACAATAGGTGCGGTGGCCCTCGTTTCCTGTTGAACCTGATTAACTACTAATCAACCTGATCCCGATTAACCCTGATCAACTGAAAGCTAGCTAGTTCAATTAACGGCTAATAGGATAAGTTAGGTAGGTCTCTGGTTGATCCTGAAACAACGGGAGATAATTGTAACAGCAATAAGTGGGTGGTGGGGTGGGTGACTGACTGCAGCCGTGCCTGATCCTGAACCTGATTAATCCCGAACCTATTCAATCGCTGCTAACTAGGAGCTGAGCTAGTTTAACTAACGATTAACAGGAAATAACAGGAAAGATCCGATAACAACTGGGCTGGCGGAGCTATAACCTATAAACTAACCTGATTAACCTGTTCCTGATTAACCCTGATTAACTGGGAGCGAGCCAGGTCCATTAGGGCCATTAAGAAATAACAGGGATTAATAGTTAGGAAATAGGAACTGTAACGGGTAGGTAAAATAAGCGTAGCTCCCGTAAGAAACGAAAGAAATAATCCCCATACGATGTAACGTAATCTCCGTTCTTCTCGTCCATGGCTATTGCCGATCCTTTCAACTGATCCTGATCCTATAAACTGACTGATATATCCTGTTTATGCCCGACTGTTTCCGTTTCTGACTCTTGTTCGTCCGGCAGTATCTACCGGGCTTCCCTTGACCCTCGATCCCTCCCCTGTACGTAGTTCTAGGGGCTCTGGCTCTTCCTACTAACTATATATCGGTAAGGGCGATAAGAGGGGTCTCCGGGCATTAACCTGTGACTATTTCCGACTATGACTTGTAACTGTTTTTTCTGGGCTTTCTTATTTAATATCCTGTTTAATTCGTATATCGCGGTATCGTTTGTAGGTCTATCGCGCTAATCGGTAGGTTCCCCGATTAGGTTCGTGGGTATAAGGTATATCGGTATCTTCGTATGGCAATTGAGGGCATCGTGGCACCTTATCGGTTGAGGAGAAACCTCCCTAGGTGCCGTATCTGGCTGGTAGGGATAAAACAAGGGTAATCGGAGCTATCGGTAAGCCTTTTGTAATTAAAATAGACTGATTAATAACGAACGGATGCCTTTAAGCGCGTGTTGTAAAAAGGGGGTGGTGGCGGTGACGGTGTTAGATCAACTGAGAAAACGGCTATCTAGGCACTGAAAAACGACGGAGGTAAAACCAGACGAAAACGGGTATAGCTCCTTTAAAAGAGATAATTAAGAAACGAGGATAAGATAGATCCACTGATCGGCGAACGAGCTTTCAGGTAAACTGATTAAAAGCTGATAGGAGGGCGTAGGTTGTTGATGGTCGCCATAGTTGTCTGCCCTCCCTGTTGATCCTGACCTGACCTGAAAAGCTAAGGCCAAAAGCCACGAAAACGGCTCTGGAGCCACGAAAACAGCTCCTGATTAACTAAAAAACAGGGAATCTCCTGATCGACGAATCCTGAACCTGATGACTATAAAAACGGTCGTAAAAGGTCGCTCCTAAGATGAGGTGAGGTTCGAGCTACTAGGTGGTCGCTACTGAACAGGAGCAGCGTGGGTACGCTATAATGGAGGCACGAAATAAGGACTGCCTAACTACTAATAACTGGCCTAGTGCCGATTAACTAAGATTATAGCTATAAATAGCTATAATCGGTTAATCGGCCAGCTAAAAACGGCAGCTGGGAAAGGGAGGACTGGAAAGGCAAAGACGAGGATAGCTAGAAAGGCATGGTAAGAAACGAGTGAATAGCTATAGGTCGTGATGTCTACAGGTCTAAGTCTAACTAATGAAAATATAAGTACGCGACCCATATAAATATACATCGAAAAGGCTACGTGGCCTAGATCCACCGCACCACTACAGTATACCGTTAATTTTAATATTCCGAGCATTTTTAACGAAGGCTCTAAGCGCCTTAGGATTAAGATACCTTATTCGCTAATGCTAAAGTACCTTGGAATCCTTTCTCGGTTTAATAGTATCTCTCGATCTTCTCTACCGGACGTTTCTCTCCGGGAAATAAGGTATTACTACGATCGACGCTACGCTACGTAGAATGCTCGATAATATTATAAATAATATCATAAATAAAACTTATAAGTAAGAAAAGAACTATTTAAATTCGAAAAAGACCAGGTTAAAGCATCGCTTTAGCTTCTTTATTATAATACTTTTTTCGAGTGTTTCATTCTTTAAAGTATAATCTAAACCGTAAAAATAAATTCCTATACTATAAAGTTTCGCTTTAAAGATAATATTAACGTAGAAATCTTTAATAAGTACGACGTCCTTAAGCTTTAGATTAAAGGTAAGTTTATTAAATTAATCTAAGATATACTTCTCGATAATCTTACGACCCGTACTAGTAATAAGGAAGCTCGTAGTACCGGCTTTAACCGCTTATCCGTCTCTAGTAGGAACGAACGACCCCTTTATTAGAAGGTTACGATTATTAATAAGGTAAATAACTCTATAATTATCGAAGACGGTACTTTCCGATAGTAAGTATCGAACTAAATCTATTATAAAATAGATCCTAATTTAAGTTAATAGATATATAATATATAAGTTAATAATAATTACGTTAATATTAGCTGGTTAAGTAGTAGCGTTATTTCCTTCCCCGTTCCTGGAGCGATTATTAGGTATATTATTTACGGGAACGTCCTACCCTTAGCGGTTAATCTAATTTCGGAGCTTAGTATATTTAAGTAATTCGTATTTAGCTTAATTTTTCGCATAATATTAATCGGGATATTTTTTAAGTAGCGTATAGTCTAACTAGTAACGGACTTTTAAAGGATTTTATAAAAGTAAGCTAGCTATATATATAGTTTACCTCTAGACTTATAAGGGTATTCGTAACTAGTTACTTTTCCTTAGCCGTTATTATTACTTAATTTCGCTACTAATATCAGACTTTAATAAGTTATTATGAAAATTCTATAACCTAATTTACCTTTTTATTTATTCTCGGTAGCGAGAACGCTAAATACGATATCTAATTACGTAAGGGTCTTTAGTTATTCGCTAAGTTTATTAGCTTCCGTAAAAGCGATTAATACCCGAATAACCTAATTAATTACGATCTTAACTTTAATTATTTCGAGGAAATCCTTTACTCTTATAACGCCTTTAATTCAATTAATATAATAAGTATAAATACGAAAGAAGATATATTATTACGTAACGTAGAATTACTTAAGATTATAAGTACTTACCTTTATTCTTTAAAGTACCTTACGATATTCCCGCCTAACGAGCGTCTTAATAGCGGCTTCGGTAGGAGTAATTTACTTACGGAAGATCTTTACGAGGTTTTAAATAATCGGGTCGAGGTCTAGGAACTAAATCTCTATATTAGCTACCTTAAGAAAGCTTATAGAAATAAATACGAGAATCTAACTATAGATAATCCTATGTTACTTATTAATAGCTATAACCTAAGCCTCGATTATTATTTACTATGAAACGAGCTTATTATATAAAGCTATTTATTACTCTCGAGTTCGGGCCTTAGGCCTTAGTAGTTAATCTCCTCGGTCTTCGGTTACGATCGATACTTATTCGTAGACCGCTTTCTTATAGTTCCTTTAAGGAAAGCGTTCTTTCAAATAATATACTCCTTAAGAATACTTATTACGACTTAACTAGGGTTAAACTTAACTCTGTCTAAATTAACGTTCTTTTAAATACTAAATTAAATAACTATCGATTTAAACGTAAGAAATTAACATAGCTACTTATCGTAAGTTCGTAAGTAAACGTTAATTAGAATCTTATCTAGAGAGAATTCGGACGTATTAATCGTTATAGCGAATAGGTAAGTAATTATTATCTAATGCTTAATATGAGAGTAAAGTACCGGTATAAAAATAAGAAAGAAGAATAATCGTAAGATCTAAAAAATAAATAAATATACGTTACTTACTTACGCTAGAATAACCTAAGTAATAATAGCTCCTTAGAAGTACTCCAGGCTTATAACTATTACGTAGCTAGCGAGACCTACGTATAGGTTAATAGGTTACGCGTAAAGGGAGTAATAGAATATAGGTAAGAAGGTATATATTAACTAATTAGAAAAGAAGAAAAGCTATAAGAAAGTATAGAGTAATCTACGGGTATATATAGTAGTACTTAACCAGCTTAGGTAAGCTAGGTGGTTCCTACTAGGGGCGCATACCTACGTGACAGCTTATAAGTACCGTTGGTAGTTCTACCATAGGTAACTCGATCGCCTATAAGGGCTTTTAGGTCGCTAGCGGGCTCGGCGCTCGTTTCTCTAGGCGGTAAGGACTCTGGGATAGGCGGTAAGGATATCGTGGAGTATTAGGAACGGCTCGTAGAGCCGTTAAAAGATTAGGAATAGCTTTAATTACTATTAATCGATTAATAGCTATACTACTAGCGTTCTATCTATAGCAAATAGCTATTTATACGTTTTAGTTACGGTTTCTTTCGTAGCCTCGCTACCTTAATCGTAAGGTACGTAAAACGAGTTAAAAGGTAAACCTAGTTAATCCGTTAAAGGTATAAAAACTAAACTATTAAAAGGGCTTAAATATAGCGTTTTACGAATAGTTAGCTATTACGTATTTTTCTTTAATTCCACTAATCACAGGGCTCCTTTCCTGATGCCTGATTCCTCAGGTGCCATACCTGACTCTCGTTATCTGCTGAGATAATCTGGAATTTCTTCTTTGGTACGTATGACCCTTTTCCCGACTCCCTTTCTGTTCATGCATGATGGGCGCAACACGAATAACCAACTGATGTCCACGGCCGCTACGTTTCTGGAAGCATCCTGATCGCGACTCCCGATCGAAGTAGTAAAACAGAGTAGGCGACAAGAGATTCTTTTCTCCTCACCGACCCCCGTCTCTTCCGGTTGTTGACTTGGCTGTGCTGCTTTTGCCCATAGCCTGCCCGACGCGCAACAGGCTTCCCGCAATCTTACTCCCTATGGTGCCCCTAAGGAACAAGAACAGAAGGACGAAACCTCCAAGCCCGTGTTAGCCTGATTGGAGTCACCCGGCCGCGAAGATGCCAGGACCGGAAACCCCTAGACATTCACGCCAAGCTTCGAGCGTCGATGCATCTTATCAGAACTCGAGTCCTGCTATGTCGTCTAACAGCCGCCGCCTGTCCAAGTCCTCCTTACAAGAGCCCTTGACACCTCTACGTAATAGCATGAACGAGTCTGAACTTAATGAGCTCAGCGGCGGTGGTATAGTCCAGGATAATGGGCTTGGGAATTTGGCGGATGAATTAGCAGACGCTTTGTCTGGGTCTGGCGAAGACGAGGAGTTCTACGAAGATGAGAGAGGATCGCAATCAAGAGACAGTGCCGGTCAGGACAGGCTTGACGGGACCAGAGACAGTGGCGTTGATATCGCAAGCCAACCGAGTCAACAAGGGAGAGCCAAGAGCACCAGTCTGAGTGTACCGTCACCGTCTGGTCGCGGCCATCGACGAACAGGGAGCGTGTACGATGGGAGCGAGTACGGTTCCGAATCGGATCTAGATTCGCCTGGCATGCCCCCGAGTTTGGTTGCGAAGATTGACGCTGTCGAGTCGCTGGCCCGGAGAGGCACAGAGAGCAACGGTGGGCCGACTGATGGCGTCTTCAAACGGGTAACGGACGGACTGAGAGACCTCGGGTCCCAGTCTAGCGTGGAGGGGAGTACTACAAGGTAAGCAATGGCAAAAACCCTATCATACAACTTGACTCCGCTTCTTAACAAGTCTTATCCGTACCAGGTTGATTACTGCTCACTCGGCCCTGGCGACACACTTGGCCCACCAGACGCGGCAAATCCACAACCTCACTTTCCCTCTTTTGTCTCCACTCGTGCCGGCCCCGGATCCTGACACCATCGACTCGCTTATCCCGTTGCTAGCCTCGGTCTCGGATAGCATGCCGCGGCCCGCGACCTCAGCGTTCAACTCATTGGCGGCTCTGCACTCTGTGACATCAGACTTAATTCAAACCCTGAACTACCTCTCAGACACGCTTCATATGTCACGACAGACGACAACTACCGCCACGAGGCGGCTGAGGACCGTCAAGGAGATGGTGGCTGAGATGAAGCGGGAAGAAGAACTCAAGGAGGAAGGACAGAGATGGTTGACAAAGGGCAACTGGAGCGAGAGGTTGGAGAAGCGAGAGTGCGCTGGCGTATGCAGGGACGTTGTAGGGGGGTTCGAGGAGTTGTGTGATGGCTGGAGAGCTCGGCTCTTGGCCCAGGCGGAATCAGCATAAACACGGCATGGCACGGAAACTCTGCGGAAATCCGTTCCCTTTGAAGCGGGCGTGGATGCTTCGCCCCAGAATCAGCGTGGGAATTAGGATAGCGACAAGGCCTGGACGGCCCGATGAGTTTCTACTCGTCATTTCAGCATCGTATCGGATACCTATAGAACACTTGTGGCGTCGAGACTTGGTTTCAGACCGGCTTCCGTAGCCCGGCGGATGGACATAATAACGACTCGAAGGTTTTCGCAATCTGTAAGCAAAGACTCCCTATACCGATCGAGGACAGCCCTATTCGTGACATACTCGGGATCTAGATCCTCTAGGAACCTTGTTATCCTGCTGCCCAGGTTCGTGCTAAGGCCAAGCTCGAGAGGCGCAGACCGCTCGTCCTTTCTGTATATACATATATAGAACCAGTTACAATATATCCAGAGAGAAATAAGATTTAATAGGACCAACGAAAAGATGGGGATCGGAAAGATGAGGAGAAGGGGGCATCTGAACGACGCCTCACGGGACAAAAATAAATATCCCTAATAGTGAGCTGCTGACTTGCGTGAAGCCTCTCAGGCTGGCTGATATCATGAGGAAATCCACTTCGCACGGAATGGGATTCTCTGGAGGGTCGACGTTACGTGCGTTGAAGATCTATCGGACGTGCGTCCCGGGATGGCCGGCGGCTTGGCGGGCGTCGAAAGCGGACCTGTTCGCGTTGGCGCCGGAAACGTCCGCAATGCGTGTGCGGGCGCACGAAGACGTAGCGGTCGCAGAAACCGGCCACGCGGCTGACTGTTTTAGGGGCCGGCGTTCGTGGGATCGCGCGTCGGAAAGGCTTGACGGCTGACGGATAAGGGTAGATATTTCGGAGCCTCCTAAAGTCGTTCCGACCCCTACTTCTCCGTCATGTCCTACCTCCGTGAGACCCTGGGACTTGAACGAGTGCGGCGCTTTTCGGGCGGGTATGGTATATATAGTAGATGGTATCTTGGATAAAAGCCCTACTATATAGGCATCACCCACCATGGGTGTACGGGCATCATGAGCTTTGCTATCTATAGGGTATGTATACCGTATCACACCTTACGTAGGCCCATACTACGGTAGGCGTTGAACGGTTTCTAGCGAGGCTTCGATGTTGCTGTTTATGCCTACCACCGGGATCAATGGTGCAGATGAATCCGGCAGTAGATCAAAACATATTGGAGGATTGTACATATAGATCACCTTCGATGCGATACCTACGTGCTTGATTGATACCTGCTAGTGTACGAAAGGGACCCAAGTGTGCCGTCGGAGCGTTAGGTACCTATATCTCTATACCTGCCTACCTCAACCGGCTGTAGGATCTGGGGGGAGGGGAGGCGGGGCCCAAACGCCAACCCCTGAGAGTGGCGAACGCGCCGTGGCCAGTCGGAAAATTCGCAGGCGCGTCGGGTCTCCCTGGAGTTGACCTGGTAGCCAAAACAAACAACCGGACCGTCGCGCGCTACGTACCTCGCAAGGTGACCCCCCTGCCTCTGTTGTCTTCTTACCAGTCAGGTTAGCGAGGGGCAGTCTGACTTTGCTTTTGCAATTTGACGAGACAGGGACAATAGCGCGTCCCCAACACGTCTGCTTGATTCGCGGTCTAGGTCGCGTAATGGGCCGTGAATCTCTCTCGACGTGTTGGATTGCCCGGTGCGAGAGCCTGTCAGCGGCTCTCTGTTGTGATTCTACTCAAACCAACCTCCACAATTGCACCTAAATGCATACATACTGAGCCATCGTGGCGCGGGAAAAAAAAAAAAAAAAGGGGGGGGGGGGATGGAGGGAGACTGGTGTTTACATGCAGACGCGTTCCCAGCCACGTACGAAGGGAATCTAGAACTACCTAACCTACCTGCCTAGGAGGTATCTGCTAACCTAACTTCCTAACCCAGTACAGTTCCGAAGCAGATAGGTATTATGGGTCATTGTAGGTACGTACCTCCTCCGGAACCTACCTAAGGTGTATGGGATCGTGGCCTCATTTAGCATACGCGTATACTCTATCTACACTTGCCCTATGGGTATGCAGAGGGTGAGCGTGTTTACATGTGCAAAGGGGAGGTGTTGAGCAAAGGATAGGGGGGCGGGACGGTTGATCACAGGGTATTTTCAAATTGAAACCAAACATAAGGCCTGGAGAAAATGAGATTCGAGGTAGGGGGGGTAGCAGAGGAGGTATCTTGCACAGGAAGTCTGCAAGCCTCTTATGTACTGCCTGGACTGGAGGTACGGTGCAGACGCATTAACCACACTGTGGCAGATACTGGTCGAGGAGGCGTGTATACGCCAATTCAGGAAGTAGACGAGCATAGTGTGGACTTGACAGCGCTTCAGATGGTCTGAATATTAGGTACGTGGAGCCCTCCCATGGCAGCCCCTGGAGGTACAAGTCAGGTTTGTTTTGCCTGTACGTTAGGTGCCTACCTAGGTACCTACCTAGGTAGGTAGGCAGATAGGTTAGGTACCTGAGGTCTTTACGTGCCTGAGCACCTACACGGCTGCAGGGCACCCTACCACCCTACGGAGCACCAACGACATACCTCTCATAGGTACCTAGCCTGCTAACCTGACCTGCCTACAGGACCCCCAGGCAGTGCTCGGGAGGTACCACAGGTACATGCGTGATACCGTAGTACGTGTAAGGCATGTACCGTACGTTACCCAACAACGCGTTGTGACGGGCATGCACATACAATACACAGACAGACACACGCACCAGAGAGAGAGAGAGAGACCCAGAGAGCAAAGGAAACTGGAGCAGAACCAGCACCTCTCCGACCTCCATCTTCTTCCCCTACCCTTTTTCTTCTTCTTTTCTTTTTTTTTCTTCCTCTTAACGCCTTATTACCTCCTCAGGTCCGCACGGTCCAATCTGCCTATCTCTCAGTCTGCCAAATCAACCACCCACCTCCAATCTTCCCAACTTCTCAACGCCGGCCTCAAATCAATCCCACCTATCTTCCGCCTCCCTCTCCTAGCCAATACTCGCAACCAAACCACGTCAATTCCGCTCCCTCCCAGCTCTCCTCCCTATCCTTCAACAACAACAGTATCGCAGTTATCCAGCCAGCGACTGAACAGCACCGGCCGGTGCCTCCTCCCCCTCCCCTGCGAACAACACGGCCTCTATTTCCCTACTAGGCCTGCCATTGTTCACCGGGTTAGTATCTTACTGCTTGCGCCTTCAGAGTATGCCCTAGGAAGGCTGCACACCCCGAGGGGCTTTGAACGAGCACCGGGCAGTCTGTATATGGCTTCAGATCCCTCATCTGGCCTCTGATCTCATCCACCCTGGGCTTCCTCCCTCCCTTCCCCTCTCCCGTCCCCTCCTCTGGCTTGCAACAAACCCTATCCGCGCCCGCCCCCGGCCCAGTGCATCGCCTGCATATCTCTTCTCTTCACCAGGCCGCTTATACTTCGCGATCGCCACCTGGGTTCCGTCAATGTCCGCAAAATGACCATAGAGTCCGATTCGCCAACTCCTGTACTGCCACCTTCCAAACGACAAGCGCACGATACGATCACCCCGGCCGTGCGGACACCCTCAAGGATAGCTACACCTCCACCGCCGCCCGACCACGGCAGGTTGCAAGCGATGCCGAACGTGATAGATATGAACAACCCGAAGAGCGCGCGGCATAGTGGTCGACGGAGCGACAGGATGAGTCACGGTGCTGTCGATCCCGAAAGCTTGACGCGCGCCCTCTCGAGGGAGCTTTCGGTAGATAGACGGGATAGTGCGTCCGGTGCTAGTCCTAGCAGGAAGCGCCAACGCATTAACGGGGACAGGTGAGCAGAGTCGCAAATAATAGATTCCCCCCCCCCCCCTTTTTTTTTTAATTACTCGGAGGGTTCTCATCACAAGTCTCGATTGATATCAACTAGCCACGTTCTGTGCGGTCATGTCGCTCGTCTTGGCGAATCCGGGCCGGTTATGCGACGTTTCTGGTACTGAGACGCTGATTTTTTCTTTTCCTTCTTTCTCTCTAGATTCATTCCCTCTCGGTCTGGCCAGGACCTCCAAGCCAGCTTCAGCCTTTTACATGACGAAGGCTCGCCAGCAACTCCTTCGCGGCAGAAGAAGCGCACACCTCATGGTGAGCTTCATTTCCAAAAAAGTAAGCCAGCGGCTGTTACCTGTCGTGTTGCTTGAGTCCGATCCTAATTATTTCCAGCCGAGGAGGCAAACCGAATTTTTTCGAACGTGCTAAGGGCAGAGCTCTTCGAAAACACAATACCACAAGCCACCCCGCCCACGTTATCTCCCGATGCTAATTTACCGGGGTCATCGCACTCGACACATCCTCACGATGGCACGAGATCCCACACGCCGCCTAACAACCCTCCTCCTACCCTACCCCCAAGCTTCACGCCTTCGACGCCACATAAGAATCTGTTCTCTTACATGTCGCCTCGCCATCACAGCAACGTTGCTGGTCATCCGACACCCTCAAGAACCCCCCAGAGTCGACATGGCCCCAACCTAGACATTCGGTCGGAGATTTATAGCCTTTCACCCGTTCGGTTCGGGAGTCAGCAGATGCTATTAAGTCCGAGGAGACAGCCTCGGGCGGTCAGCAAGGTGCCATACAAAGTCCTGGATGCCCCGGAGTTGGCGGACGACTTTTACTTGAATCTAGTGGACTGGGGTAGTGCCAATGTTCTAGGTGTCGGCTTAGGATCGAGCGTCTACATGTGGAACGCGCAGACGAGCCGGGTGAACAAGCTATGCACCCTTGAAGACGACACCGTGACGAGCGTGTCCTGGATCCAGAAAGGGACACATATTGCCATTGGCACGGGGAAGGGTCTCGTCCAGATCTGGGATGCCGAGAAGACCAGGCGTTTAAGAACGATGACTGGCCATACCGCTCGTGTGGGGTCGCTGGCCTGGAATACCCACATCTTAACGTCGGGGTCGCGAGATCGCTTAATATACCACCGTGATGTCAGGGCCCCGGACCAATGGATGCGCAAGCTTATGGGTCATAAGCAAGAGGTTTGTGGTCTCAAGTGGAACTGCGAAGATGGCCAGTTGGCGAGCGGGGGCAACGATAACAAACTTATGGTCTGGGATAAACTTTCCGACACGCCTCTGTGGAAATTCTCGGATCATACTGCCGCCGTCAAGGCGATCTCATGGTCCCCTCACCAACGCGGTCTCCTTGCTTCGGGCGGAGGAACCGCGGATCGAAGGATCATCTTCCACGATACGGTACGGGGAACAGCCATTAACGAGGTGGACACGGGCAGCCAAGTTTGCAACATCTCGTGGTCCAAGAATTCGAACGAAATTGTTTCCACCCACGGTTATAGCCAAAACCAGATTGTCGTATGGAAATACCCGGCGATGACACAAGTGGTTAGTCTCACCGGCCATACCTACCGGGTTTTGTACCTAGCAATGAGCCCCGACGGTAGAACCATCGTAACCGGCGCCGGCGACGAGACGTTACGATTCTGGACCGTTTTTGGACGGCGACCGGGCCAGAGGGAAGATAGCGACGGCGGCGGCGGACGGCTGAGTGACTGGGGCGTCATTCGGTGACGGAAAGCTAAATCCGTTTCATACTTCAACTCCATCTACTACCCTATTTCTACGGTGCCAGCTCCTACTCCGCCACGAGGAGAAAAATCGACGTGTATGCTTTTAACGAAATTTTTGAAGGAACTAACAGTGGTTGCATCCACCGGCGTTCTCACATGCTTTTGGGAGGCTTCGCATTTACGAGCCTGCTTCGGCGTTGGCTGTTCTCTTCCTTTTTTGGGTTGTGAGGACGGGGGGAAGGGGAGGGGGGGGCGGGGTCGGGCTGGGGTTTCTATTACGATATCGGGCGGGCGCTGGGCCGATTGATCGGCTACTTCCCGTCCCAGTGTCTATAATGGCAGTGGACAGTTGTTTTGCGGGTAGGTAGCCAGGCGTTGAGAGAAAAGAGGGTGGGAGGGGGTTGAGGAGGGTAAGCAGGGAAGCATGCGGGAAAGGGGGAGGGCAGGTTAGGCGGTTACGGGAATCACCTGGTCGACTCGGCGAGGCTCAACGTCGTGTCTATTCGATTTGAGCTAGTAGCATCCTATGTGTTGCCGCGCAAGCGTTGCAAGCAGAGAATAGAGTGTATTAAGTAGGGTACTGCTGACCATGATCACGCGTGTGACCAAACATGACGCGGGTTCTCAACCCACCCGTTGGCAGTACCGAGTCTGGGAACGTACAGAAGTGTGTAGCTGGAAGACATGGTGTAGCTCAAGGTAAAAACGCTCATCTCCCATCACTTTCGCTATGTTAATGCGCCGTATAGTATATATATATATATAGGGGGGGGGGGGGGGGGGGGGTGGAAGCTGTCTGACATTCGGCGCCTCCTTGTATTCCCCCTATCCGCTTTTTTCATCTCGTCCCAACTCCGTCTGTTGTAAATCGAAGGGGGAAAAAGAGGGTATCAAGACATCTGCCGAACCATTTATTCTTGGGAAGCAATATAGTTGCTAATGTCGTTTGTGTTGCCGTCGTGGTCGCGCTCAGCCAAGGCGACGCTGAATTTCAAAATCAAACGGAGCCGGAAAAAAAAAACAAGGGGCGAGGTTTCGGACCGTAGGCCGGACAGCCCGAGCGGGTCCTTCGCCTACCGAACTAGTCTGAACCCGACGCCGTGATTCTAAACAGTAGAAAACTAGCTAATATAAATCGCCTACCGAGACCATCGAACCAGCTATGCACACCTGCCCGTTACAAGTGTCCATGTCAAGAAACCGGCCCGGTGCGGAACGTCGTCTCATCACGCAGATACCTCGATAGGCTTCCTCTCCCGCGCCGCAGCTTTACCAGTGCTCTCTATTCCGCTAGTCACCGCCGCTTGCTGGGCAGACGAGGCGGCCCCCCTCTCCGGCTTCTCGTCCTGCAGCAACGGGATCTCGTCGACACTCAACCGCCTCCCGCTGGCTGGGTCCCGGATCCGAACAGCCTTCTCGGCGCTCTCTTCGGAAACCGCCGCGCCGCGGCTCTTGCCCTCGGCCTCGGGAGCGGGCGTCGTTGCCATCGTCGGAGAGCCGAGAGCCGTTTCGGGGTTGCTCTGCCACTTGGCAACCTCGGCCTTCAGGATCTCGAGTTCGTTCTGGAACCGCTTGCCGAACACGTCGATGTAATATGTTGAACCGTTGTATACGCTCCACGTGAATACGACGACGAGGAAACAGGACGAAGCCCATCGGCTGTAAAACCACAAGGGGCAGGGTAGCATTGTCAGCACGGCGTAAATGTACTGGATCATCATGAACGCGGGCTCCTGCAAGGCATCTGGCAACGAGAGAACAAATTTCCCGATCCAAGTCTTAGAGTAGGAGCGACGCAGCCAGGTAAAGGACGTAGGGCGCCCAGCCGCAATCTTCTCCCGCCGGCGGACCGTGATGAAGAAGTAGTAACTCAGCTGCCAGAAGGCATATGGAATAGTGGACCAGGCAAGCATCGATATGACGTTGCCGTAGGCGGTGGGGGAGCCTGGCGGCGAATTCTTAACCGTCCATAGCGCGGGAAACCGTTCGCGCTGCTCGTCGTCGGGGAAGAGGTGGACGACGCAATGCAAGGTAGCACACGGCATTATATGGATGAATAGAGACGTGACCTTGTCGAAGTCGTGGAACACGAGGGAATTGCGCCACATGATAATCGCCACGGCATTGTTGCCGAAGGCGAGGCAGAAGGCGGCAATGAAGAACCTCTTGGAAGACGGAAAGACCCAGAGGCTGAGGAAGAGCAGCAAGTTGACAAAGTAACAGAGGTCGGCTAGGAAGTAATGATAGCCACGCCTGCGGTAGGTGTAAAAGCGGATGGGCATGAAGTAGATGAGCTGGGCCAAGTACCAGAGGTGGAAGCATTGGGGGTAGGCGCCGATCAAGTAGCCGCTGACGAAGATATTCATGACACCGCCGATGAAAGAGACCTTCTCGCGCAGAGTTATGACCTTGGTGCCGTTCCATTGGCGGCCTAGTTTCTCGACACTCTGCTTCATGCGCTTCCTGTACCTATCAAGCTGCTCTTCGGCCGAGGGCACTCGACGTCGCCATTCCTCGACCATGCGATCCTTGGCCACCTGGCCTCGATTCCGAAGGGCGGCCCGTGACTTGCGGACCTTCTCGGTTTGCGCCGAGATCCCTTTCTGAAGCTTCTCTAGCTGCTGCGGAAGGGCGAAGTTGTCGAGTAGGTCTAGGACGGTCAAACGGTCCAGGGGAGGGTACGAATCCCAGTCTTCGTGGTACGAGCTGCTCCCTGAGAACGAAGGGTTCCTCGAGATCCGGGGGCTCTTGGGGGCGTCATCCAACTTTGGGGGGTCCACTAGGGGTTGCTGGAGAGGTGAGGAGCTTAGAGAGGGAGTGGTGGTATCGTCGGGTGTCAGGGCCGTTTCGTCGTCCGTCTGCACGCCCTCAGACTTAGCAGACGGTGCCGGGGCGGGGGGACTGCTGGATTCTGCCATCTCGGCTAGCGTTCGGACGGGAAATCTTTGAATATCGTTGCGGAAGGAAACTCTGCGGAGAGCTTCGGCTCCCCTGAGAACTAAGATGTCAGCCATCGGGGACTCGACGAAGCGCTGGACACGGCTGCAGGCACCAGCTCCCAAGCGAGGGGGTGACTGAGAAGAATGGGTGAGAAGGGGAGGGAGAGTAGGCAGCGCACTTACGGCTAGGAGCAGACAGGGGGACTAGCTATTATTACTATTGCCTTGCCTGGGTGAGAAGAGGGAAGACAGGTTCGCACCGGGTTGCGTGCGGCCAGAGTGGATGCGATATTGGAGCCCGTCCAATTAAATAGTGAAGGCCACGAAGGTTCAACAGCGGGAAGCTGGAGGCGAAGGGGTGCGTGTGACTTCGTGGGAGAGTCGACACGAGGCGGGTCTGCGTGACTTCAGAGGCTTGTGATGGAGGGTAGGCCACCTTTTTTTTTTCCTTTTGGTTTTGGGTTTGTTCGAGAGCGTGAGAAAGGGACCTGGGCCGGATGGGATGCAGGGTGGGATCCAGAACGGGAGAGGATGCGGACCGAGGAAAGTCGGGAAGTAGGAGAGAAGTAGGCGAGTGGGAGATGTGTCGATCCTGTAAGTGGCACCGGCTGAAGTGCGTGTCTCGAGGACGCGTTGTGGTTGGACGAGGAGAAGCGGCTCTTATTACTGTGAGATCTTCGAGTCGACCGCAGATGCGACTACAGGTTTAGCGTATACCAGAGAGAGAGAGAGAGAGAGGAAGAGGGAGAGGGGGAGAGAGGGAGAGGAAGAGGGAGAGAGGGAGGGAGAGGGAGAGGGGAGGAGGAAGGGAATCTCGGTATGATCTCTACCTCTCTCTCCCATACCGCCTAAAGAACCGTTCATGACAATACGGAGCCAGACATAGGTAGGTAGGTAGGTAGGTATGTAGGAGGAGGTAGGTAGGTAGGTAGATATAGAGATACACACCGAGTACACACTGACACAAACAGTCTCAGGATTGGGACCGACTCTTCACCATTTTGTCTGTTCTCTTCTCTCTCTTTCTCTCTCTATTATTAAGTACCTAGAGAAAACGCGGGTCCGCACCAGGTTCCGTATTATCTCGAGGTCGGAACGGAGGTTATGGTCTTGAGGTCAAGGTCTTGAGGTCGTAAAGGGCCTAAAGAGCTTGGGTAGTAGGGAGGCACCTATGTTGGAGCCTAAGGCAACCGTAGATAGGTACCTCACAGGCACCTAATGTAGGTACCTATATAGGAGGTAGGAGGTACCTAGATATCTACAACCTGCCGGTGTCTCCCCACCTCTTTTTTGCCCTACCTTTACCTACAACCTGGCCTATAGTATACAGGTAAGAGAACACCTTAGGTACCCACACGTACCTGTATCTTAGACACCCAGTACCTAAGGTACCTCCTACTAGGTACCCTTCGAAACCTCAGGGTCCCCCGCGCGTCCCGCAATCCAAGCAAAGTCGCGTCCTCACCAGCAGAAACAAAAAAAAAAGTTGCGACGACGGCCCTGATCGGGCACAACTCATTCCTCATCTGCCCACACAACTTCGCCTACTTTCCATCCACCCCGTCTACACAATTTCTGCGTACATGCAATCGTCGTCCCTGTCTGCCAACCCGCCTACGCCGATGTGCTTCACGCACCCTCGCGCCCTGTCCTGATTGAAACATAGGTACATCCTCGAGTCCGGCTTCTGTGAGATGCCGTCGCCTCGATTCCCATCCCGATCCAGCGACGCTTAGCGACCACCCGTATTCCCGTCCGCATAGTTCTCGCGTCGCGTCCCCGTCCGCGCACCGCCCGCACCTTGCACCCGCACCCACCACTACTATAGCCACCATAACCCACCGGCCGCACCTGTCTCATCGTCATCATCTTGCGTCCTACTTGACGTTGGAGCAACCGAGCCGAGATGGGGAAACTTATCCGTCTCGAGCTATTCAGTGCGTCGCCTCATGTCGTGAGAATCGGCCATCTCGGCGCAACCCGCTAACTCCTACCAGACTTCAAGTCCTACAAGGGCCACCACATCCTCTTGTTTGGCGACTCGTATTTCACCTCCATCATCGGCCCCAATGGCTCCGGGAAATCGAATTCGTACGTATCCCCCCCCCCCGGGAGGGGGTCTCCCAGCCGTGTTTCCTTCTAACCTACCCGTGTTTAGCATGGATGCCATCTCCTTCGTCCTCGGTATAAAATCGTCGCACTTACGTTCGGCGCACCTGAAGGACCTCGTGTATCGAGGTCGTGTCCTCAAAACGTCCAAGATCAACGACGACGGTTCGGCTGCCGCGCCGACCACCAACGGCCACACAAATGGCCACGTGAACGGTGATGACGATGATAAACCGAATCGCAGCGATCCTAAGACTGCCTGGGTGATGGCCGTCTACGAGGATGACGCCGGTGACGAGCAGCGATGGAAACGCTCCATCACCAGCCAGGGCTCTAGCGAGTACCGCATCAACGACCGCGTCGTCACCGCCCAGCAGTACAACGCGGCTCTCGAAACCGAGAATATCCTCATCAAGGCTCGGAACTTTTTAGTCTTCCAGGGCGACGTCGAAGCCATCGCTGCTCAGTCTCCCCAGGATCTCACCCGCCTGATAGAGCAGATTTCCGGCAGCCTAGAGTTTAAGGCCGAATACGAGAAGCGGCAAAGTGAGGCAGACCAGGCCGCCGAAAATTCCAATTTTCAGCTTCAGAGACGACGTGGTATAAATTCGGAGATCAAGCAGTATCAGGAGCAGAAACGCGAGGCCGATAACTTTCAGAGCAAGACGGACGAGCGCGATGCCGCCATTGTCTCTCACATTCTTTGGAAGCTGTACCGTTTCCAACAGGTCATGGACGATTCCAGCGCCAAGATTCAAGAGCACCAGGAAAACCTCAAGGAGTTCCGTCGTAACGTTGAATCTTTCGAAAAGAAGCTTGAAACTGCCCGGAAGGCACAGGCCGACGCTGCGAGGGAAGTTCACAGGGTAGAGCGGCAGATCAAACGGCAGGAGAAGGAAATGGAGGAAAAGGAAAACAGCCTCGTCCCCATTAAGGAAAAGGTGGAGCAGACGAGCAACCAGGCTGACACCATCCGGAAGAGAATCGACGTGGTCCGTAAGGAACGCGACGAGCAACGCAGGCTGATTTCCAAGATCGAGAAGGACTTAAGTACGGTCCATAAAGCCCAGAAACAATTCGAAGAGCAGTGGAAGGAGACCATGAAGAGGCAGGGGAGGGAGCTTAGCGAGGCGGACCGAAAGGAATACAACACCCTCCGAGCGCAGGCGATGAACAAGTCTTCGGAGAACCAGGTGAAGCTGGAGAACCTCAATCGCCAGCTGAAGACAGACGAGGTCACTGTTAACAGCCTCAAGGGCAAGGCAGACGGCTATCAAGCTGCCGTAGAGAAATTAGAAACGGAGATAGCGGCCATCCAAGAGCGAATAACCACCACCGAGGGCGCCGTCGAGCAGATCTCGAGCGAGATGGATACCAAGAAGAAAGAGTTCAACCAAGTTCAATCGGAAAGAGTGAGGACAAATCAGAGACGAACAGAACTCGACGAGAAACTCCAAGACGTTCTTAAGAAGTTGTTGGAGGCTGACGATGGGAGACGCCAGAACGACAAGGAGGCCCGGATGAAAGAGATGGTTACCTCGTTGAAGCGTATCTACCCGGGCGTCAAAGGTAGGGTGGGCGACCTATGCAAACCGAAGCAAAAGAAGTTTGACGAAGCTGTCATCACTGCCTTAGGGCGCGACTTCGACTCCGTTATCGTAGACAGCGAGAAGACGGGCGTCGAGTGCGTGCAATATCTGAAAGACCAGCGTTTCCCGCCGATTACTTTTATCCCGTTGGACAACATCAAAGTCAACGCGGTGAACACGGCCGTCAAGGGCATCTCTGGCGCACGGTTGACAATTGACGCTATCGACTTCGATTCCTCTCTCGAGCGTGCCATGTCTTACGCTTGCGGCAGCTCGATCGTTTGCGACACTCTGGAGATTGCCAAGCATGTATGCTACGGCCGAAGAATTCAGGTCAAGGCGGTGACCTTGGAAGGCTTCGTTATCCATAAGGCAGGTCTCATGACGGGTGGACGTGGCCCGGAGAACAAGGGGAACAAGCGCCGCTTCGAGGAGCACGACGTCCAAAATTTGCAGAAGATGGCCGATAAATTCCGCGATGAGATTGAGAGGCTTCCCAGAGCCGATCGACGAGGCACGGCCGAAGAGACGTTGCAAATCGAGCTCGCAGGACTCGATCAGCGCCTCGGATTTGCCAAGAGCGAGCTGGCGGCTTTCCGGCAAAATCTCGCCAGCAAGAAAAAGGAGTTAGACCACGCAAAGCGCCAGCTTAAGGAGTGGCAGCCCAAGTTTAAGGAAGAAGACAGCAAGCTGCAAAAGACTCGCGCATCGGTTGAAAAGTTTAAGGGCGCAATCGCCGAAGTAGAAGACAAGATCTTCTCCGACTTTTGCAAACGGCTTGGGTATTCGGATATTCGAGCATACGAGGCACAGCAAGGCAGTCTAGAACAAGAGGCGCACGAGAAACGTACGCAGTTTGACCTTCAAAGGTCTAGGCTGGAGAGCAACAAGAGCTGGGAAACGTCCAGGCATAACGAGACCGAAAACAGGCTTCACAGCCTCGAGGACCGCCTCAGGCGGCTATCTAAGGACATCGAGTCCTACCAAGCCGAAAAGGAAGAAATCGAGGAAGCGATGGGCAATGACCAGGACAACCTCGACTCCCTACAGCAAAGCCTGGACGAGTACAAGGCGGAGCTGTCCGAGCGCAACGAGAAGGTCAACGACGCCAGGGCGGAGGTGCAAAAGAGAAGCAAAGATATTGAAAGCAGGCAAAAAGCGATAAGCGCGCTAGAGACGGAGGTCCAGAGGAACAGTGCCGGCAAATTCGCGCTCCTGAGAAGATGTCGATTGGAACAGGTCAACATTCCCCTCGTCGAAGGGACGCTTGATAATCTTCCGAACGAAGATAACCTCTTGCACCAAGATCCAGACGCAATGGATGTCGACGACGGCGACGACGCGGACCCCATGGGTGATGCCATGGACAACTACGGAATCGAGGTTGACTTTGATCAGTTGGATGACGATTTGAAGAACGTAAGTTGCCGTAAGGTAGAGATAGAGGGAGGGAGAGCGGGAATCGAACCCACCCAATATCGTGGCTAATATGAACGTGAGCAGCTTGAAGACGAGAGCATCGAAGAGAGCTTGCAAGAGAAGATCTCGTCGCTTACCGCGGAGCTAGAAAAACTGAACCCCAACATGCGTGCCATGGAACGACTGGAGGTGGTGGAAGCGCGTCTAAAGGCGACCGAAAAGGACTTCGACGATTCGAAGGCGGCTCATAAGGCGGCCAAAGACGCTTTCGATGAGGTCAAGACGAAGCGTTTTGAACTCTTCAACAAGGCTTTCATGCATATCCAAGAGCAGATCTCCCATGTCTACAAAGACCTCACGCGGTCGGAGCAATATCCACTCGGAGGCCAAGCCTACCTCGACATCGAAGAGGACACGGACCAGCCGTATCTCTCGGGGATCAAATATCATGCCATGCCGCCGCTCAAGCGCTTCCGAGACATGGAGCACCTGTCGGGAGGCGAGAAGACGATGGCAGCCCTGGCGCTCCTCTTCGCGATCCACAGCTATCAGCCCAGCCCCTTCTTCGTGCTCGACGAGGTCGACGCCGCGCTGGACAACGCCAACGTGGACAAGATCAAGAATTACATCCGGGAACACGCCGGTCCTGGCATGCAGTTCATCGTCATCAGCCTGAAGGCGGGCCTGTTCCAGGACAGCGAGAGCCTCGTCGGCGTATACAGGGACCAGGAAGTGAACAGCTCGCGGACGCTGACTCTCGACGTAAGCTCTTCTTCTTCTTCTTCTTCTCCCCCCCCTCCCAATCTAGCTTGCCTGCAATTGGTCTGCTCTCGTTTCGCTAACTCCAAATGCCCTCTCCAGCTACGCAAATACGTGTAATGTCACGCGAACACGAGTGGGAAGTGGGAGGACCCATTTGTTTCGGGCAGAGCAGCGGCAGCGGAAGATGTCGAAGGAGGCCCCCTTTTTCTCTTTTTTTTTGATCTTAATGATGGGACAAGGCGATTTACGGTGGATGCGGCCCTCCCCCACGGAACCACAGTGAGGCAACGAGCCTCAACTGTCCTTTTACCCGAAGATGATACCTAGGTTTTGCTTGGAGAGAGAAGGAGGAGCAGGGAGACTTGCGAGTTTTGTATGGCACATCCCACCTGAAGAAGGGCAGTGTAGATATCGTCCACGCATGCGCGCGTGTTTCCCCGGGCATCTAGCAGATTTTTAGTACTAAGCTATTCATTCGCAGGACTGCTATATAGTAGCTACCATGGGCTTTTTTTTTTTCCTTTCCTTTTTAACGCCAGCCAGTCCACCACCAAAAAAAGCATGCCATGGAATCCTTATGCCTCCTCCTATGTCTGTGGCGTCGTGTAGGGTATCGCAGTCCACTAGCTGGGTGTATGCCACCCTATTGCCCTTCCCCCTCCTCCCTTTCTCCTTCCGCTTGTCTCCTGATGCTGTTTATGTATTACTCTAAATCTATGCTGAAGCGGCTTAGACGTCCTCGAACGCGACGTCTTCATCCTCGCTCTCGCCGTCGTTCGCCGGTACCTCGACCTTGACCTTCTTAGAGGGCCTGTCTTCCGAGGCGGGGGTGTCGGCGGCGCTGGTGGGACCGCTCGACGCCGGCCGCTTCTCGCCGATGGAGCTGCCGTTGGCCGAGATGTCGACGAACTCCTCCTCTTCCTCGTCCTCGTCTTCCTCGTCCTCGTCCTCATCCTCTTCGGCAGCCTTACGTCTCTCTTCTTCCTGCGATTTCTTCAGCATCTTGAAGATCTCGTCCATTTCCTTGTCGTTGGTGGTGTCGTCAGCGAGCTCGTCCGGCTTCTTAGCGTCGTATTCGTCGTGCTTCGCTAGCGCGGCGGCGTTGCTGTTCCCGGCGTAGGACAAGCCGGAAACGGTAGAGGTAGTGTGCCAGGCCGGCAGGGCGTTGGACTGTGCAAGCTTCTCCTTTGCGGCACGCTCGGCTTCTCTCTCGGCCTCGGTGGGGCCGTCCTTATCGGTAATGCTGATCGCAATGCTCTGAGGGCCCGTATTCGCCATGCCCTTGACCGCAGTAGGCTTCGCAATGCTTTCGACAACAACCGACGGGGCAATCTGGTTAGCGGCGTCACGGATGACGGGACGAGCCGCGGCCAATGCGGCCTCGAAATTGTTGTCGGGGATCGTGATGGTGTCAAGCTTCGGTAAGATGTCGGTGATGAATCGGAGCTGGTTGTTGAGTTTCGTAGATTGTTCGTGGCCGCCGGCTTCCCGATTAGGGTCGAACGTAAGGATGCTACCGCAGCGATGGCACTTGAAGCCGCGAATGGGATCCACGTTATCGAGGACTTCGAGCTGGGTCCACTCGGCCCTGCAGTGAGTGCAAAAGTACTCCTTCTTCTCTTGCTGGGGCACAGCGTCGCCCTGGACGCTCTTGTCGATGTGGTAAGTCCTCCATTTGATCGCATCGATGGCCTGGCGGTAGTCGATGTAGTAGTAGATGCGGTTGGATGCTTTCTCCTTGCCCTCTCTGAGTTCAGGTCGGACATGACTGCAGCGACGAGGATTAGCTCAGACAGCGGGAGGCATAGGCTCGTATAGATGTGCATACACGTGCAGAAAGCGTTCGTCGCGCAGTCTGGCGCAGATTCTATGCAAATCCTTGGTGTTGAGGTTCATCAGGTAAGACAAGTCATCGTCGCGAAGCGTCGAGTGGAGGACCAGAGCGTCCACGATAAGGATCATCCTTCTATCGTCGGGGGAGTTGTAGAAGGCGCGCGCCGTTGCGCGCACCAAGGTCTGGGCCAAATCCATCGAGGAGGGCTGAGCAGGTATGGAGACAGAAAGAATACGACGGTGTAGAAATAGTGAAGAACGGGGTGTGCCGACCGGGCCTGTGGATGAAAGACGCCCAGACCAGGCAAGAAGGCAGTCGGAGTGAATAGGAGAAGGGAGAAAAGGATGGAAGAAGATGAGATAGTAGGTTGGTTGACGAATGGCAGATAGGCGAGCAGTAGGAGCGGCAAACGGCGCCACCTAGAAGAGGACGATGGTGGGCTCCGTTTCCATTGTTTGCTGCCGGCTCTTGACTGTGAGAGGGCTGTTTGTCGGCAGGGTACCGATTGCGGATTATAACTGGCTGGCGAGCACACACACAGAGAGAGAGGGGGGGAGGGGGAGAGAGAGAGGGAGAGGGAGAGAGAGAGAGGGAGAGGGAGAGAGAGAGACGGCGGCAGGGAGGATGGGCGGGTGTTCCGTCAAGGAAGACGACAGCTGCAAATCGGCATGCTGGACTTGTCAGATTCGCATAGACAGCCTGACAACTCGGGGCTACGTTTAGTTACGCTCTGGTAGCGTGGACGAAGAGGTCTGGTTGATGTTTCGTGCTTCTGGATCTTGCGCGAGTGGAGAGGTCCGAGAGGCTGCCGTGGTATAGTCTTATTATTTTTGGATGGCAGAGGCAGGCCCAGCAGCAAAGAACGGCGAGGCTGAGACGGACGGACGGACGGGTCTGGTCTGGTTTGACAATGCGACGGGAGGAGCGCGAATGGAACTGGACGTGAGCGCACTTTAACCGCGAGGTGCATGAGGTAATCTCGGCTTCTTTCTTCATCCGATTCCGGCGCAGGTGCCTTCTCACCCGCAACTCGCATTACATGTGATACCTGCATATATTAGGTACCGGATACATGCATGGACATCTGGGCTGCATTGTATGACGTCATCTGCCACGAATGGGTCACACCTGCCTGCAGGTACCTGGGTAGGTACCTGAACGAAGTACCTGAGGGTACCTACCGAGCATCCCGTTCTTCCCCAACCCGCAGTTGAAGCCAACCCTGCCCCATCGCCCCCGAGCATGCCATCCACGGTATGCGGCGTGGCGCCCGAGACGTGAGAGCATCATACCCGATGCCTGCTATCTGTGGTAATGCCGCTAGAGGTTGCCTGTCTGTCCTTGTTCCTAGAGGGAAGCCGAGAAGGGGGAACGCAGCCGTAAATGTCTCTCGAATTCCCCACTATCTACCTACTGCCTACGCACATCGAGCCGGATAAGCTGCCGGAGCTCGAGAGCAAAATCCCTACGTTGACGTACGATATTAACGAGGCGGCAATAATCCTTGGCAATATATCACACAAGGAAAGGGCCAAGTTTGAGCTAAGGCGCAAGAAGATTCTATTCGAGGACATCGATCCGCCGTCCCCCCCCCTACCCTACCCGGAGGCCCAGACCCAGAATACTGGACTCAAAGACGCACCATCTGGAGATGGCAGTCCAGGCGAACCAGTCGCCAGCTGCGGCAGACCAGACACGGGCGATGAGTCGATAATTAAGGTGGTCAAGCTCGCCTGGTTCGTTGACTGCTTGGCTCAGGGCGCCGTCCTCCCCATAGATGAATACCTGATATACCAGGGCCGCAAGGTACGGCAAAGTTCAAAGGAGGTCCGGCCGCATCCTAGGCACGTCCCCAAACATGCTCAACAAGAAGGCAAGGATGATCAACTTGTTCTAAAAGGTGCCCCAACTTCTGCGAAGCAGAATTCGACGGTCGAGGCCCGGACGAAGCGCCCTATCTTGCGGCGTGAGTCAACGTCCGAATTCGAGCCTCACGCCAATATGCCGCCGATTCCAGATTATCTTCATACAACGTACTCATGCCAACGTCCAACTTTCTCAAACCCGCCCAACCGTCACTTCATCGCGGAGCTTCGCAAGATCAGGAAACTAAAAGCTCTCAAGGGCGACGAGGTAGGAGTGAGAGCCTACTCCACGAGCATCGCCTCCCTGGCAGCATATCCCTTCCTGATTTCTCACCCAGCTGGTAGGCGATCCAACACGAATTTCCACCAAATAGGGCTTTTATTGTTTCTAACTAAACGTTTAGAGGTAACTAGGCTACCCGGTTGCGGTGACAAGATTGCTACGCTCTATCGGCAGTGGAAAGCAACCGGCTACTTTCCAGAGGTCCAGTACGCTGAGGCAGATCCAAAGATGTCAGTGCTGCAGCTTTTCCACGGTATATGGGGCGTCGCACCGGTGACCGCTCGCGAATTTTACAACAAAGGATGGCGGGAGCTCGACGATATTATTGAATACGGTTGGCATGGTCTTACTCGAGTTCAGCAGATTGGTGTTAAATATTACGAGGAGCTTCAGGAAAAGATCCCCCGTCACGAGGTTCGAGACATTGGGAAGACCATTCTGAGTCACGCCAACAAGCTTCGCCAGGGCTTTCAAATGGTCATCGCCGGAGGATATAGGAGAGGGAAAACTGAAAACGGCGATGTTGACGTTATTCTCAGCCACCCAGATGCGGCAGCTACACTCCATTTTATCGAAGACGTTGTTGCTAGTCTCGAGAAGGAAGGGTTTATCACCCACACGCTCGTCATGGCCACTGGTAACAACGAGCCGGGCCAAATTCCGCTATCGCGGAAACGACAAGGGCCTAAGGCAGGACTCGTGTTTGACACGCTGGACAAAGCCATGGTGGTGTGGCAGAACCCCCAGTGGGATCGAGGCGCATCGCCCAGAAACTCCAATCCTCACCGGAGGGTTGATATTGTCGTCACTCCGTGGGAGACGGCCGGTTGCGCCGTCGTCGGTTGGACAGGCGGCACTACGTTTGAACGCGACCTTCGGAGATACTGCAAGCAGGAAAGGGGACTTAAATTTGATAGTAGCGGCGTTCGGAGCCGAGTCGATGGGTCCTGGGTGGATCTCGAGAGAGATGCCGACGGCTCACCCCCGGACATGCTCACCGCGGAGAAGAGAGTTTTCGAACGACTGGGTCTGGAGTGGCGTCCCCCAGAAGAGAGATGTACGGATTAATTCGACCATTAACCCCTGTCTAGGAACTTTGGTACCGCCGGATCCGCTAGACAATGCGGCAGAAGGGGTTAAACTAGTGATTTGTTTTTGTCCTTACCGGAGAACATGTAACCCAGGGGGGAAATTCCGAAGGACCGCCGAGAACTCGACAGAAACATTATGATAAAAAGCCTATTTATTTCCTGTAGCGCGCATCTCGTAACCACACTATTACGCCCAACGCCCTAGGCGTGGTGACGAGAGTGGCTCGTATCACGGCCGTCTGAGAGGGCGCCAATGGACAAGACGCTGTCCGTCTTGGAAGTGTATACAGATCGGGTAACCAACATAGAACCAACGATGTACACATTCTTTCCGATATCGACGCCACAACAAGATTTTAACTCAACCATGCATACCTCTCGCCCCTTTCCTAATCGTCTTGGTCGTGAAACCCCACACGTGTAGTCGTACATACTATATATATATCCTCGCCTTTATCGAGGTCGGAGCAAGAGAAATCGGGTGGGATGGGGGATTGGGGGGGGGGGGGGGGATTGTCCCGGAAGTCCCCGTAGATTTGAAAAAAGCGGCTTCTGCATCGCGTCATATACGCTCCTGTGTCAGAGACTCGCACCCTTAGTGCCACCACTACTGCCATTACCACGGTACCGCCCCTCGCCGGGGACTGGGGGTCTTCGGAGTTTAGCGCTCCCTTACAGCTTGGCCTCGGGCGCCGCCGGGGGCAGGCCCTCGCCGCCGCCGCTCCGCTCCAAGATCCAGTCGCCGACATCCTTGTAGAACTCTTCTCGTCCGGGCTCGGCGTGCAGCTGGTGGAACCAGCCTTCGTACGCCTTGAACACCAGGTCCTCGAGGGCGTCGGGGCCGCGGCTGGGGCGGCGGGCCTCGTCGGCCCAGGCGCGGACGCGCTCGAAGCTGGCGATGGCGTCGGCGGTGCCGTGGGCGACGAGCAGGGAGCGGACCTGGGGGCGGAGGGGCCGGAGGCGGCCGCCGGTGAGGTCTTCGGCGCGCCCGATCATGGCGGCGTGGCCCTCGAGCGTGCCCGTCTCGTGCAGCAGCGTGTCGGCCGCGAGGCTCGCCTGCACCGCCGGGTCGCGGCACAGGTGCGCCGGCGGGATGGGGCGCACGAGCCGGAAGTGCGGCACCACGTGCGCGGCGAGCCGCCCCGACGCGATCGTCAGCCAGCTCGGCTGCGCGGCGGGCGTGAACCCCAGGAACGGTGCCTCGAGGATCCAGCCGCGCACGCGCGCGATGAGGTCGGCGTACTGCGGCGTGCTGGCGAGAGCGAGGACCTCGCCGCCGCCCATGGAGTGGCCGAGGACGAACACGGGCACGTCGGCGCCCCCGGCCCCCCCGGCCCCTTCCGCGGCCCGCTCGCCGTCCTCCTTCTCCGGCGGCAGGTGGCTTCGGAGGAAGGCGGCGATATCCGCGAGCACGGCCGGGGTGGCGCCGCTGCGGCCGCGGTCGGCGGGGGTCTTGACGCTGCGGCCCCAGCCGCGCTGGTCGAAGGCGTGGACGGCGATGCCGCGGCGCGCGAGGCTCGGGAAGAAATCGTAGTACCGATCCACGTGGTCGTTGAAGCCGTGGACCATTATCATCTTGGCCCTCAGGGGCCCGTCGGCGGGCTACGTGGGCATATTTTAAGCGAGCTGACACAGGGAAAAAGAGAAGGGTAGGAATACGTGAAGGGTGTGCGTGCGAGCGCAGAGAGGGAGGTGTTGGGTGGGTGGGGTGGTATGCATGCGGATAAACTTACTAGCCAGGACTTGGTGAAGAGGCTCACGCCGTCGTCAACTTGAAAGCTGCCCTCGACGACTTTAACGTCTGCCATCTGGTTTGGGTTTTTTGTCGGACCTCGGTTGAAATTACGGAGGTTAGGTAGGAATCAACGAATTGTTGGTGTGTCGGAGATGATGGGGAGGGAATCCAACCGGTTGGTCGAATGAATATCAATGTTCGTGCCCGAAGGACGAAAACATGAGGCCCGAGATTAAGGAGCGTTTCACGTCGGCTCTTATATGTTGTCGGATGGCTGAGGTTGCAGACATGTAGGGTGTAGTAAGCCAGGCCGGGAGAAGAGAGCCAGCTAGAGAGGAACGGCAGGGGTCCTTTTATAGGCTCTCTAACGAGGGGGAAAGCTGGTGCTTGGCTGAATGAGAAGCGGCGGAAAATCCCCACTGGCCCTGGCTCCGGGTTGTTGTCAAGTTGTCAAGACGTGGACGCGGGGCCGAAGCTGGCGAAGCATCAGAAGGGCGAACGAAACGTTGATGGGATATTCGCACTGAGTGAAGAAGTTGATGGACCACCTAGGTAAGTCGAGTTTAATGTGTATAAGCGTAGGTTACGGATATGTGCATAGGCTAGGTACAGAAGGTGCCTGGCGTTAGTAGAGGTACCTACCTACCTAGGTAGGTACTAAGTAAGTAGGTACCCGAGGTACCGAGAGGGAGGAATCATCATCACAGGTTCAGACGCCGCCTGCGTGGTGGAGTGAAAGCAAAAGCTCGCAGGCGTAAGAACCATCGCAGCAAGACACCTGGATAAGTAGGTAGGTAGGTATACCCGCCTTCGGCAGCCCGGCCTTCTAGCTGCAGGTTGCCCGGGCACGGAAACGGACGGAGCCGTGCCGCCGGTCAGGCCTCGGCGCCCGTCACCAAGCCGAGTGATGGGCCGGCATTGCCTCGCCGAAGAAAAGACGGCGGTAATAAGATTCCAGTTCTCCTGACGATGCGGAGGACCTCGCGCCGAAATCCAGGTATCCCGCTAGTGCCAGCAGGTTTCAGAGCTTTTGTGTATTCTACCCTCCGGTCCATGCGATTATGTCGCTCCATGCCCTACAACAAACCGCCGCACCCTTTTCTATTCTACCCTTCGCCGCCGTTGACCATCCATAAATCCCGCCGTGGTATCGAGTGGAGTACTGGTCCGATTATTCTACATACATGTACAACAGAGGCTCGCCGTGGCGCCCCCACCGCTCCCCCTCCAAATAGAACGTAGCCCGCTGAAAGGGGAGAGAGCCGGGCTGCCTGCTGCCCTTTTCTTGACAAGATATATTCAAAATCAATCCGTTGTGTGCGATAGGCTTTCCCTCCCGCCCAGTCCCCAAGAGCGGGTGGGGACTATACGTATCAGCCCTCTAGGCCTGCGTACGTGGCATGTGGCTGCACCAAATACCTCGAAATTACTTCTCAGATTTCTGCCGCGTCTCCTCTCTGGGCCCATCTTCCTCGTCTTCCTCCTCGTCTTCCTCGCCTTCTTCGAGCTCTTCCTCGATGATCTCCGATTCCGAGAGCTGGGGTCCTCTCCTAGCCGCGGTTGGAACCTCGCCGCCGCTCATCTGCCATTCCATCAGTCGAGAAAATTCACTCTTAGGATTGGCGCTGAGCTCTTCGAATGATCCGACTTCCGCAACCGTGCCGTTGCTCGACAGTACGATGAGGCTGTCCGATCGCTTGATAGTAGAGAGCCGATGGGCGATCGAGATCGTAGTCCGCCGGCGGCCCTTCAGCAGCGCCGTCAGTGCTAGGTTGACCGCCGTCTCGGATTCCGCGTCGAGGGCCGACGTGGCTTCGTCCAGGATGAGAATGTCCGGATCCTTGATTAGGGCTCGTGCAATAGCAATGCGTTGCTTCTGCCCGCCCGACAGCTGCGTGCCTCTCGGGCCGACCTGAGTTTCTAGACCTTGGGGAAAGTCACTGATAAAACCGCAGTTGGCTTTTTGCGCGGCCGTCACCACCTCAGCTCTGGTAGCATCTGGTTTCCCGTAAGCGATGTTCTCGGCAACGGTACCGGAAAACAGCACTGGTTCTTGGGACACCATGCCGATGCGGCGCCGCAGAGACTTCGCATTCATCTTGGAAATGTCCACCCCGTTGATGCTGATGCTACCGGACGTGACATCGTAGAATCGCAAAAGTAAGGAAGATACGGTTGACTTTCCACCGCCTGACGGACCAACAATGCACACGTTGGTTCCTGAGGGGATCTCGAAGTTGAGCCCATTAAAGATTGTGACGGCGGGTCGGGTTGGATACGCAAATGTGACGTTCGAGAATGTGATGGGACCCTGCGCCGATGTGACTTTGACGCCCTTCGTCGAGGAGATGCCCATGTTGCGGTCCTGGAGCTCGAAGATGCGCGTGGCCGCACCAACCCCCTTCATCAGCTCCGAGTAGAAGCTGGCAACGCCGAATAAGCCACCGCCAGCCCAGAACGCGTACATGACGAAAGTAGTGAGGTCGCCGGCGGTCATTATGCCGTCTCTCACCAGATTTCCGCCGAACCAGAGCAATGCGATGATGGTCATGTTGCCCATCCAGGACGTGCCGGAAAAGTAGGATGCGTCGTATATGGATTGTTTCTTCCCGAGCTCAAAGACTTTCCTGACTTGCTTATTATACCGCCGGACCTCCTGGCCCTCGCCGACGAAAGCCTGGCTAGTCTTTACATTTCCCAGCCGTTCCTCCGCGATCTTGGTTAAGGTTCCCAGGTTCTGCTGCATCTTGCGGCTCAGCTTTCGGATAATCCGCGAGTAAACGAAAGAAGCAGTGCCGATAAAGGGAGCAGCGACTAAGATAACGGCAGTAAGACTAGGGCTGAGCCAGGCCATCAGGGCGAGTCCCGAAACACTATTGACGATAGATCTCATGCCGTCCGAGACATTCTGGGTAATGCTTTTACCGACGACGATCGTATCCGTGCTGAGTCGGGAGATGAGGTCGCCGACCCTGTTCGCGTCGAAAAACTCGGCGTCCTGGCTATATGTCTTCCTAAAGAGCTGGGACCTCAGGCGCGTAACGACCCGCTCTCCGATGATGCGAAGGAGAACGATACGCCCGAAGTTGGCGCACGCACCGACGGTGAGAGCTACACCGAAAGCGGCGAAGAACTGGTAGAGCGATAGGCCAAAGACTTCGGTCTCCTCGATGGTTTTAGAGGTAGCCAAGTTCATAACCTTACCAACAACGAGAGGGAGAGAAACGAAGAGGGAGGACGAGATGAGGAGCAAGACGACGGCGAGCGCGAGCGGCTTGGCTTCGGGCTTCGCAATCTTAACGAGCCGCCAGATCTCGCCGAGAGAGGCCTGCGGCTTTTTGGAGTCTTTGCCGTCGTGCGAGAGACGAGCCCGCAGGTTGACGTGGGCCGCCTTGGAAGCCTTCTCACTCTTGCCGAAGCCCTCGTGGGCCTGCAGATCGGTATTCGCGGGGTTGACGACCTCGGGGGTAGCCGTCGCACTGTTCTTCTCTCGACCGCTCAGAACTGCCACATTCTGACGAACTTGACTCGCCGGCTGGCTGGCGTAAGACCGTGTGAGGATGCCGGTGGGGGGGCGCCACGGCGAGGGTGACACTGGGAGTCGCGAAGTAGATGTAAAGCAGAGAGGCGTCGGAGGAGAGCTGGGTGGGGGCGTTGGCGATCGGAGGACACGGGACGAGGGGCGGATCGTGGCGAGCGGGGTCGTGGTGGTGTGCAAATGAGATTGGGGGGAGACTCGGAGAACCATTGGGCGGCCGAGTAGCGAGGAGGACTCGTAGGGAGGCAGGGCGGCAAGATGGCAGGCGAGCTTTGCGATGCCGGCACCGCGTGGTGGGAGACTCCCCATCATGGCGCGTCCCAACGCTGCCGAAGGCATCTTGAGCGCTTTATTCTCGTCGCGTCCTCATGGGAACCGACGCAGACCTGCCCGTTGCCCGCAGTATGTAGGTTTCGCTCGGATTACGCCGCTGTGGGCGTTTGCTGGTGACGCTTCCAGAGTAGGAGATCACAGGGGAAAATCTAACCAACCAACTAGGCAAATAGAAACAAATCGGAGAGAAAAGACAGAGGGGAAAAAAAAAATTGGGTGACAAGAATGCCGTCATCCGCTGAGGCTAACAACTTGCCCGGACGCCGGACGAACCCACCATGGATACCTAGATTATACACATGCTAACGCGTACACGAGCCGCGCACACTACGTACCTCTAAGGTATATTACTATAGACGGGCTAAGGGAGGGGGACCTGTCAGCAGTTAGCAGGCAGGTACGGTTGCTACATTAGGTGTAGGTGCCTACAGTTACCTACTATATATAGGTTTAGGTGGCTACTATCGTAGGTACCTACATACAGTGGCTACATGCGGCGACTACCTACATACGGTTACGAAGGGTCGGTACCTTCTTAGGTTAGGTGAGTATCTGAGGGGTAGGTACCTTAGGTATCTACCTAGGTAGGAGGTACTATAGGTACCTAAGGTGGGTAGGTACCCCAGGCAGGCGGGCAGGAGGTACCAAGCCGGTTCGGCGTAACGGCGGTTGGGGCGATAACCTATCTATGCTAAACCCTCCCTGCTTGGCTCGGATCTATATGTGCTTGAGGAGAGGATGTAGGCAGGCATTCATGCATGGCAAATTGTATGCATACCTACCTGCCCATAACCCTGCCTGACAACTGCGGGACTGCCGGGCACCGAGCTCCGAGCACGCCGTCTTCCGGCCGCCGCTAAGTCCCGGACCGCCGCCCACAGCCCGCCTCCCAACCGTTCCGCGCAACCACCGCGTCTGCATTGAAGCCTAACCTAGCTTGTTGCGATAACGGCGGCGGGAAATACAATCCTCCAATGCGTAGGCGTAATATTCCCACGCCTGTCAGAGCTGGTCATCTTGAGACAATCTCCCAGCAGCGGAGGATCATGTAGTTTTCTTTTGTTTTTGGCTTTTACAGATGAAAGTCAATGACTAGGAATACACAATACATTTCTGATGAATCGGGTCGCGGTCGTGATTAGTACAGTGCATGTAGGTTTAACCCAGGCCATAAAAATAAAAAGCCAGGTAGGTTACCACCACTACCATCCCCCCTCCCCAATTCTCCCCTTCTTACCCATGCCCAGGCATTCCGTCCTTCATCTTCTTCGTCTCTCGACGCCCACCGGTAGCAACGAGGCATGACTATTCCAGGAGGCCCCCCCCCCCCCCAGCGGGTGTACCTGCTACGATCATGAGCCGTTGCTGTCAGTACGAAGCATTTCAGCTACGTCCGCATCGATGCCGTCGTCCTCCCCTAGGTCAGGAAAGTCATTGGCGTCATCTAGCTTCCTCTTCTTAGACCCGTTCGCCGAAGTTGCAACGGACTTGTAGTGGGCAGCAAGGCCGGACTGTGCTCCAGTGCCTAGACTACTAAGTGGATCCGACGCAGATTCTTGCGCGACGTTCGATGGCCAGCTCGGCTCCGCCGGGTCCGCCGGGTCCGGATTTTCGGCGAGATCTGGTTCTAGGGCGGGGGGCGTAAGTGCCTCGACCTCGGGTCTATCCGGCTCCGGGGCCGGCTGGTCGTCGAGACCATTATTGGGCGAATATGGCTCGTCGTTTGGGAGGCCCGCTATTATCGCCCTCTCCACCTCCGTCTTCTTCTCCTCAACATCCATCCTTCTCCTGACGCAGGTTTCCAACTGGTCTTCTTCAGCTATCAATGCGCTCCGGTTGCCGTCTAAAACCTTCTGGAGCGCGGCGACGAGTTCTCGGCGGGCTTTGACGCATTGATCCACCGCTCCTTCTGCCTGGGCTAAGGTCTTGAGAAGACCGCTTAGGCGAGCAGCATAAACGGGGGCGGAAGGAATCGCGCTATCCGGGCCCATTAACTTGTCGTACTCCTGATTGGCCGAGTTCATCGTGCTTTTCGTGCCTAGGAGCAGCTTCGTAACATTTTGCTGGGGCGTGGTTAAAGGGGCCAGCTCTGCCGGAATAGAGGCCGACCCGAAAATAGAGCCCCCAAGTCCGGCCTTGGCGCTACCGCGAGCCTGGTCGATTTCTGGGAAAGTCAGTAGACGGCCGGTGATAGGATAAGCCATATGAACTTGCCTTGTACGCGGGCTTCTATGGCAGCCAGGATGGGCCGTTCGAAGACGTTGCGCTCCTTCCAGACTTCGATCACCCGGAGAATTCTCTGCTGGACATCCATCGTAGCGCCTTTATACGCAGTGGCGACAGCTTCGGCGATGATAGGCGAGAAGGCGACGACGAAATCGTCCCGGTTACGGGCCTTGGTTTGTTGCGCGACCTCTACATACGGCAAGGTTAGTATCAGAAGAGCAGGCAGGAGCTTGACGGTGCGCATCCGCATCTCGAAGCAACCTACCATTCGCAAGGTATATGAGGTTCAATCGTTTGTGACTCGTAGAGTCCTTAAGCCGCTGAAACCATAACTGAACCGTGCGATCCGCATGTCGCCTGACGTCCGGTAGACGTTGTTAGTAGTCCGTCACAGAGATGTATCGAATCGTGCAGCGGGGACGCTTCCAGGTTGGCCTACCTATGGAACATGATCCATTGCGCTACCGCCACGATGCTGTCAGCCGCCTCCGACAGGGCGGACAGCTTGGCCAAGACAGCATCGTCGTTGTAGGACATGTCGGATATGTTGGACGGACAAGAATGTAACAGCAGGCAGGATAGGGCCGTTCGGGCGGGATGGACGGATCGGATGGGCTTCCCCTCCGCTCGGGGGTATGGGATGTGGGATGTAGCCGGTTTACTTTCCGGGATGAGAGATCAATCTACGGACTGGGCTAACAGGGCTGATTCGTCCTAGGTCGAGCCGGAGACCACGTCGACATGTGCCTATTCTAGCTACGTTGCGGCGCACTCTTCATCAGAAGCCCAGCACTACCGGGAAAGGGGACACGATCATCAAAGGACAGTGGCTGGCTGCCCCACGGCTTGTCCCTGCCTGCATGCGATGGCTTGACAACTCAGCTTCGGTGAAGGGGAAGGAAGTTGATGAAGGGGGAGGAAGAGCTGGGTGAGGGCGGGAGGACGAGGGAGAAACCGAAAAGGCTGCCCTGAAAAGCTGCGAAAGCGCACGTGATCACACCGCACGCGCCCCTTAAGGTAGGCTAGGTGTGTACCTCTAATCTTGTAAGTGCATACCTAGGTATGCAGGGATTGCACCGTACGGGGGAGCATACGTGGTAGGAACCTATGTACCTCTTACTTACTCATAGTGGTATTCAGCAGGAACAGCTGGAGGTTAGGTGCTTATTGCTAATGTACCTATGTACCTACTACATACCCGTATTTGAAACCTACTAATAGGAGGTACCTCTAGGTAGGTAGGTAACCCTAGCAAGTAAGCCTCGCATAACCTCCAAGGTTCTGGTGGCCTTGCGGCGAAACAACAGTTCAACCTATTCAAACAACTCGAGCAGTCCTCACAAGCTTACCCCCTTACCATCCAAAAACGTCGTTTATACCACCAAGACGCGCCGATCAAGCAATCGACAATCGTACAACCTCAATTCCTTATTTTCTCCGTGCCTTATCACCATGGCAGACAGATTCCCGTCCCTCGACGACTTCGACTCTGGTGGTATGTATGAGTGCCCCCCGTCCGTCCGTCGCCCGGCCTTCCATTGGGTGGTAGATGCCAACTCTTGACCTCTCTCGTTAGCTCAGACGGAAATAAAAGATATTGGAACGCCCTCCGCCGACGATTTTCTCGCTCGAGAGCGTGCCCTCCTCGGAGACGATGCGACACAGTTTACTACTGGTACCGAGTCTGCTGTTTTGATGGATGCCTCGTCGGCACCCCTGGCAGATGACGACCTCCTTGGCGGAAGTGGCGAGGACGCCCAGTTCCAAAGTCAGTTCCCAGATATCACTGCTTCCAACGAGGTTTGTCCAGCTCCCTAGACCGCCACGCCGAGATCTCACCCTGATATCATACCACAACAGGTCGCACCTGGAGGTACCATTACTGGCCCGTCAGTTAGCTATAATTCGGGCTATGGCGCGTACGTCCAAGACGAAGAGGAACCCGAGGTCATCAAGCAATGGCGCGAGAAGAGAGACGCGGCCAACGCAAAACGAGCCGAGCAGTTTGCTGCCCAGAAAGCTGAGACGATCAAGGACGCCCAGCAAAACATTGATGATTTCTACGAGAACTACAACGCAAAGAAGGTGAAGATGATCTCGCAAACTCGAAAGGAGGCAGAGCAATTCCTATCAAGCCGAGACGACACCACCTCCGGCGGCACGAGCTGGGAGCGCATTGCGAAGCTAGTTGATGTCAGCGGCAAGGGTCAGAAGGGTGGTGCCGCCGGTTCGGGCAAGGAACGTTTCCGTGAACTATTGTCGAGTTTGCGGAAGGATGAGAAGGCACCCGGAGCCGAGGGATACTGAACGTGCTCTCGCCCACCGGTACACAGCTAGCCGGTCTGGCGATATAACGAATACGGCATAAGGAAATCCTTCGGCGCAAAATCACGAGTCGAAATGGAATACCGCCGGTGTGGGTTGAACTGTATGTAGAGAAACCCCGTATACAGGGGCCAAGAAGCTGGTATTGCGGGCAACTTTAAGCCTTGGGCGTAATAGGGGCTATGATTTAAAAAAAAAAAAAAAGCCACCTTCGCAACATCGCCCTAATTTAGGCCGTAAAACAGAGTTATATTCACGCAGCTGGGAAAGGCGAGAGATCGCCCGAGATCGAGTGTGTACGACTGTCTATTTATCGCCAGGCGGATGTAATTGGTCTAATTGGGTTTGGCCCATCCTGTCGCTTACGATGGCCCTCTTCTATCATGCATCCTTGAGCCTAGTCTGCGCCAAACCATGTGTTGTGACCCAGGACCTTGCGTCCTACCATATACATGGTCGCTATTCTCGACGTTAGAGGGTGCCGAGAGTTACGCATCGATCAGGCAACGAACCTCCAAAGGAGCCCCAAAGCAGGATTTGGTAGGGAATCAAGAGCTTGTTGCTTCGGGGGTTCTGCGTCATATTCGGTTAGTCGGGAAGTCACTAGGAATGGGTGGTGGTTCGAATTGGGGTGACATACAATCTGCCAGAGGCGCACATGTTGTTTGTATGCTTGCTGGTAGAATCTCTGGTTCTCGGTGACCTTGTTGGGGGCGTCGACTAGTCTACGCGCCTGGTTAGCCTAAGCTCAAGCAAAATCGCGGCGCATTGGAGAGGGCATTCGGGCACTCTCAGGCACTCGGGCACCCGGGGCGAGCGGCGCCAGCGCAGCCGTCGCAGGCCCGATCTAGGATCAAAGAGGGCGTGTGATATACACATACCCCATTTTCGCTGTTGGAAGAGAGGAGATTGAGAGTCGGCCGGTGGGCGTGTGTGATTTGTGAAAGGGCTTGTTGTGGAGGAAGCTGGTATGATACCGTTGAAGAAGTTATCAGCAGATCGATCGCATCGGCCTTTAAATGATTGGATGTCCCGGAAGGTGTTCGGCTATGACTAATCGCTGAATTATTATTTTAGGTACCTACATATACGCAACAACTTCCGCTTTATGCAATATTATTCAACTGACGTACTCTGAGCCTCAACAGCTTGCTACCCGCTTCACATGGCTTTCTTCTACAAGTTTTTTTTTCTTTCCCTTTCTGCGATCGTCCCCTTAAAGCCTCACTACGTTTTCCGGATATTCACTTGCCTAGCATTATGAGTATTGCAGGCTCTACATCGTTAGACCAAGGAACATAACATGTGACCCTGTCGTAGTAATGCGACTGGCGAGCATAGCGCTTCGAGATGTGAGGTCGAAGCGTTTCTTCCTCCATCCTCACCCCCCCTTCTCTCGCCATCGTTCCCAACGGCCCCCATGGGATACGGGATTATCTCCTACGCAATATATACGATGTTGTCAGAGATATTTCTCGGGTGGAGCCTCAGGCAGCTCCGAGCCTTCTGCTATTCTGTCAGATTTAGCTGATAGCTTGCGGGCGACTCAGAGCCCCGCGCAGCAGCGGGACCCGGCCTTTCCGTTGATTCAAAAGATGAAGCTATTTGGGAAATGGAGCTCGCTGGTGACGGATCCGCATCGTCTATCCATCGAATCCGACTTCTATCGACGTGGGCCGGCTAAAAATTGGAACCGTGAACTGCTGGTTGATAAGTTTGAAAACCACGGCGATTTCGCTCTGTGGAGTTGTCTCCTAGACTACCAACAAAGAATCAATGGGGATGCCGGTGTTGTGGACGTCTGGAGGGGGCTTTGGGGACGTAAATCACTGCACCAGGTGCACAGTCCCCTTGCGCTGGTGTTCTGGCAGACGGTCTTGGAGACGGCGGTCACGCTGAACAATGACGAATTCCTAACCGGCATTTGGATATACAGCGAGTGGATGTACGACTTGTACGGTGTGAAATGGCCACATCTCTACGCCACCGTGATGACACACTTTCTGCAAACTCACCAGCACCAGCGAGTTCTGCAGTGGCAATTGCGGCTGGCCCTCCATTTCTACCCAGGTCCAGAGGAGTTTGCGAGGATCGTAAAGCATTTTGCGAGCGACCCCGAGCTCTACCGTAAGCCTACCCTCGAAACACTTTACACCATTAACCGTGATCACCAACTCTACGACATCCTCGTCCCACATCTATATAACCTGGGAGCATCCCAGTTGGCAAGAAGATGGCGACGTATTTGCACATGCTACGACGATGTACCTCTAGATCCTAGATCTGCGGCGCCTTTTCTAAGATTCATGCAAGGATATTTTTCTTACGAAACGCTTCTCCCCGAAGAGACTGCTGTCTTGAGCGGCCCCGAACCTCAACCCCTGAATGACGGCGACCGAGTGGATATATCTCGGGAGTTTATGAACCGCGTGGAGGGTAGCACGTTCGGTATCAGCGTCAAGAACTACGATGACAGCTTGGGCGCCCAATGGCTGGCCAGCTCTTGGGTCTCTCTGGACACGGGGATATCGACCATCTCGGCCCTAGGAATTGAGCAGATTGGGCCTCTGTCCCTGCAGTCAATTGCCTTAAGAGAAGGCACGTCAGCGGGCGTACTGAAACGTGTTGAACAGCTTGCGGAGCACGGTATATCTGTCGTCGACTCGAATTATCGGAGGTTGGTGCTTTACTTGGCCAATATAAAGGATGATGAACTTCTTCTCGACCTCCTAGGCAGCGATTTTCATCCGGATGTCTTTGAAGACTCGAACTTGCAGGCACAGCTCATCCTCTCCACCGCTCAGGCAGAGGATTGGCGGACGCACCGCCTCCTTTTGGTTACCAGACTCGTCGTGATGGAAAAGTCGGCACGGGAAGCGAGCAATATTCTCGCCCACACGTACATATTGCGGAAGGACCGACTTGGGCTTTGGAAGCTCCTCGGTGATATGAAGACTATGAATCTTCAGATTAACCGCGAGCATACCGACCTCCTTTTCGAGAGCCTCCTCACCGAAGCCAAGTCTACTTTTCTTCCCCAGGAATCACTCTACTTCCATCTGTCAATTTGCCGGCAGCTGACGTCCATGGAAGTGGCGGTGCCGATTCGTTGCTGGAGAAAACTTCTATTCTGTCTTGCTCGACAGGGAAGAATAGACCACTTGGAAAAAGTCTGCGTCGAATTGGTGGATTTATTTGCCTCGTCGGAATCCTCGCGCCCGGGGTTCGTACTGATGCATCCGGATGATGTGCCTGAACCCATGAGAAAGTCACAACCAGACATTGAGAACCCCCAAGGCATATATTTCCCTCTAGATTTACCCTCCAAATTGCGGCTCCATCCGCTGCGCCAGTTGTTCGATATTAAGTTGCTGGGCACTATCGTGCGCTGTTCGTTCTATTTCTCCTTGAGTCGGCGTCGCAGGATAGCCCCCCTATTTCGCGACCGTCCCCAGCTGCCATTCGGGTCCGACTGCGGTCGGGTGGTCCGGCTCATGCGGGTGCTCTGTGGCAAGGGCCTATTCCTAGACAGGATGCGCCTGGCCACCTGGATCAAGGTGCGGCTCGTCTCGCTCTACGGCCCCACCTACCCACTCAAGCGGGATTGGCAGATCATCAGGGCGAGCAACTCGTGGACGCTGGAGCGGATGAAGGAACTGCTCGACGAGGCTTGGGGCGGCGAGCTCCTCCCGCCGATCGAGGATCTAAGGGCCGATATAGAGAAGCGCGGTCGTAAGATAGTGGAGAAGGATGCGGAATTTGTAGAGAGCATAGGGATGCCTGCTCGTCGGGTTCACCGTGTAATATGAAGTTCGCTTTTGAGATGCTTCACGTACGGACATATCGGGTGTGGAGAGCGTGCACGCGCGGGTGTAAACGGGTTTCAAACCTGTTGGATCTTACTAAAGAACGAATTGGCATTGTCCTATAGCATATGGAATTAAATTTTAGCTAACTCTTGTTGTTTACATGCATCTCGTTAGGTTTGAGTATCAACCGCCCTCGGTTACTCGACGTCTATAATATGACGAGCCCAGAGACGTGATCCAAGCCGTATGTCTTTTAATACACCTTCGCATCTAGCCGCGATAAGAAGAGAAAAACAGGGATAAATGCTCCCTCAGCCACTCCCGTCGTCATTAATACCTCCACCATTATCGCTACCACCGCCGCGATGCCTCTTCGGCTTCAGGACGAGGAGTATGATAGCGCCGACGATAAGCAGGAGAAGTAGGAGAATGAGCTTGCGTTTGGTGGTCTTCTTCTGGTAGCCGGCGGCGACAACAAGCTCCTTGTCAGCAGCCTTGACTTCGGAGGCCATACGCTCGACGTTATAGTCGATACGGTCGAGCATGGTCCCCTGGTCAATGACCATAGTCTGGAGGTCGCGGAAGAGGTCGGAAAGTTCGATGATACCTTGGGCGATGTCCTCTATCTCGCGCTCGCGCTGCGCGATCACGGCGTCGTTGCTGTGCAGCAGCCGCTGATGCGTAGTCTGCTGCAGCGCCGACTGCGAGTATGACCGGTCTGCGTCAGACTCGAGGAGGGACGGGTCCGCCGCGTAGTTGCTACTGCTCGGAAATGTGGCACTGAGGGGTGTCGAGGCCCGCTCGCCGCCCAGGCCAGACATGCCACGGAGCTCTAAGTGGTAGGCAGGTATCCAATTAGCACAATGTCGATCCCCGCGGCCGTGAAGGCAGAGACGGAGGCGGGGAAGGAGAAATACTTTTCAGATATGCGCTCTGCTTTTTCCTGAAGCCGGCGCTCGCCTCCTGTACCCTCGCCGCGAGGCTTGTCTGTATATTCTTGGCCATCGTTTCCTCAGCCCTCGTCATCGTACCATTCTGCCTGCTTTCGCGCACCATCTGCTCCACACGCTGTATACACCTATGACATTCGTGGAAGGATTTGGTGATGTTTTGGGTCAGGCGCTCGATCTCGCCCTCCTCGGCGCGCTTGGCATCCTCGTCGTTGAAGGCGGGTAGCACGTGTTTCTGGTGTAGCCGCTCAAGTGTCTGCGATTTCTGGGCCACGTCGGCGAGTAGGTCCGATACCTCGGCGTTGATGTCGGCCCAGCGCGGGGGCAGGAGGTCCATCTCGATCACCGCGTCGCCGTCGTCGTAGTCGGCGCCCGAGAGCAGGCCCTGCTGGTCCTCGGCGGTGACACCGCCGCTGCCGCTACCGCGGCCGAATTCCGAGATGCCATTTCCGCCGGGGCCGGGACCGAAGTAGCGCTTCTTCTTGGCCGGGTGGTGAGCGTAAGACTGGCGGTAGGATATGTAGCTACAAGTTCGCAACAGGCCCACGTAAGTCTTGACGGAAACTGGAACACAGCGGACAGACAAGCTTGGCCGACTGGGAGTGGGTTGGCGGTCTTGCTTACAGGTTGGTGCGGTCTCGCCACATGGCGGACGCGGATGGGAGGTATCGACACCGTCAGCTTGGTGCGCAGGTACGGATCAAGAAGGGGGGCGTTTGGAGCAATGGGATGGGTATCGGAAGCACAAGTCTGGGTTGTCAAAGAGGAGGCAGTTCGCCGGGCGCCGAGTAATCTGAGGATAGATAAGTAAGGTAGGTAGGTATATAATGGAATCACATGAAAAAAACGGCCTGGATGGATAGGTAGGTAGGAGACAGGTATGCAATAGTTGCAATAGGTTGTAATTAGTAGGTACCTGCCGCGTAATCGATCTCGGGGAATATGAGAGGCACGTTAGCGAGGATTGAACCTTCCCAACAGCTGACGTAGGGTTCAGATAGTATCGGTAGGTAGCTCCGGCTGATTAGGCTGACAGGTACTTACCTAACCTAGGAGGTAGGTACCAGGTAGGTATTGGACACCGGATATAGGTACCCAGTCCTACCATACACTACCTGTAGGTACCTGTACGCAACTGCCAGGTAGGTGGTTGCTACAAGATGCATAGACAAGGCTTAGCGTGAGAGCAAGTTACGGATAAATGCAAGTCAGCCTGAGTGGCAAGACACCCGATGCGTCGCGACGTGATGCGCCTCAGGCCACCAATCCATCGCATACCGGTAGGCAAGTACCTGCCATCTCATCGCTAGGTACCCGCGGTGGACCGAGTCAAAAGTAGCTGCCAGTGTACACATGTTATCTGGTAATAGAGGCGAATGATGAGTGATGCAGTATCAGCCAGGCGCCAAGATGCGATGAGAAGCCGGCGTACTCATATGAGTATAATAGCATGGGCCTCCTATTCCTAGCCGTTACCTCAGGTACACCTAGGTAGGTAGGTACCTACCTCTAATGTCTAGGAGTCCTACGGCATACCTAGGTACCTAGGTAAGTAGGGGACGGGAGGTAGGACCGCATGGCGTTTCTTCTCTTGTCTATCCATCTATGCACATAAACCCCATAGAGCCCTAAAAGGATATCTAGCCCCTCCACCCCTAATCAACCTCTCTCGACCCTCTTTCCCCCGCCTCCCCTCCCTCCACTATTTTTTATTATTCGTTCCCCGTCCTCTCTTCTGCCCAGTCCTGCCTTGTTGTTGTTGTTTTATTCCTAGGTCAACACACCTAACAAAAGCCCTTGACGATTAAACCACACGACACCGGCCTCTTCCTGTTCTTGGCGCCCACGTCTTCTTCTTTCTGCAATCCCTTAGGCGGTCACAGAGATCACAGGTGATCCTCCGTCGTATACCATACTACCACAGACGACTAGGTCGACACGGCACCGTACAATACACCACACACCGCCGAGAAACAGCTCAACAATGGTTCGTCTTGCCTCATAGCTACCGTCCAGCCTCGAACCCCGCCGGTGTGAAAGGGCCGGGGCACTTAACCGACTACCAAAAGACAGACAGACGCTGACACAACTCAGGCCGACTCCCTTACTGAGGAACAGGTCTCCGAGTTCAAGGAGGCCTTCTCTCTCTTTGTAGGTGTCCCTAAGAAATATAAATATTCGACCATTGCGCTGTCCATCTGCCCCCCTCTTTTTGCCGTCTGCAGACGCACTCGCTGACAGCCCTGCAGGACAAGGATGGCGATGGTGAGTCAGCCCCCCCTACGACTATTATCTTCATCGTCGGTCGAGCCGATCCCAAGCAACTAGTTGCATTCTACCCAGAGTCGCATATGGATATTCGTTTCCTTTTTACCCTCGCAACGATCCGGCCCGACTAACCGAATCCTCTTCTCCCCAGGACAAATCACGACGAAGGAGCTAGGCACAGTCATGCGCTCCCTGGGCCAGAACCCCTCCGAGTCCGAGTTGCAGGACATGATCAACGAAGTCGACGCCGATAACAATGGGACCATTGATTTCCCTGGTAGGCGATCGCTTCCCCCCTCCCGAGTCGCATTGCACTAGACATAGAGCTAACGTGGTGCGTCGCACAGAGTTCTTAACCATGATGGCGCGTAAGATGAAGGATACCGACTCGGAAGAGGAGATCCGAGAGGCTTTCAAGGTTCCACCTCTCCACCACCTGCGATGATAAGACCCATCTACTTACATACTCCATACATAGGTCTTCGATCGTGATAACAATGGATTCATCTCTGCTGCCGAGCTTCGCCACGTCATGACTTCCATCGGAGAGAAGCTCACCGACGACGAAGTAGATGAGATGATCCGCGAGGCTGACCAGGATGGTGACGGGCGTATTGATTGTAACCTTCCCCCCCCCCTTCCTAAACTTATATGCCTACCCTGGGATTTTGACTGACTATCGGTGGCGCAGACAATGAGTTCGTCCAACTGATGATGCAGAAATAGAGAGATATGATGAAGGAGTAGTTGGACCCTCGCTGACCTTTCGAGTGCCGTACCCATTCCCGTCTTATGTCGCGATGAGCTTTTACTTTCTATCTCTCTCTCTCTCTCTCTCTCTCTCTCGGGGCTGTGGCTAGGGGGCACTATTGACTGAGCCGGTATTGTCTGCTCAGGGGTATCTGCAAGAAAGGTGTTAGGCTGGGAAGTAGGAGTAGAATCTTGTTGACAAATGACCGTCTCGACTTGACGTTTCTTGACAAATATGATAGGGCATCAAGGGTGACCTAGAGTTATCTTCTTGGGTTCTACGTCTCCTATCTTTAGTGATTCCTGAATAGGTACATAGCTTGAGGGAGGGGACTGTTCCACAACGACGCCCTCAAACCTCCCGCCCGTATCGAAATTTTGACATGCCACGCATACCTCAGCGGTTCATGCCATCGGGAAGGACATTGGTAAGGTATGTGTGCATCTCTTTCCCTATGGCATGGTTCTAGTGATTCGGATCTGGCTCCGGGGCCACTGGCGTGCGTATACGTCCGGATATCTCTAGTCTCCTCTCTGAGCTCAACAAGGCTTTTCAGTCAGTTGCCATAAGAAGGCTCTCCAGACCTAGGTATACACGAGTGAGGAATCTTGAGGCGCCTGATAGGCGGTTTACAGCCAACAACACCTCCTACATTCCATAGCCTCAGATATCCTACCAGGTACCTGCCGGAGGTGGGTAGAGGCTACCTGGGTTCAGTAGCAGGTGCCTAAACAGGTACCTAAGGCGCCCAAGGGTATAACTGCAGCAACCTAAAATAACAGTGTCTTTAGGTACCTAATGTGCCTAGTGGGGCACGTTCCTAAGGGGCGCCCACCCCCTAGGTACCTTATGTACCCGAGTACCTCTGCTAGGTGGAGGCTTGGCAACAATACCTAGGTACCTACCTACCTACAGGTACGTTCTTCTCCACAGAACCTCAACTTCAGCTCTTTTTCCTACTCCGGCGATAGGTGGCCAGCCGGTTCAAGTCGCCAGCTCAGCACATCTCCAACATTCACGCGTGCATAACGCAGATATACTTCTTCTTCATACAGTATCCGTCTACCTATATAGGCATATCGAAAGCCTAGAGTGTCCGCCAGCTCTGCTTGGTTTATCCCCCTAGGAGCGCGGGGAAGAGCGAGAGGGGGAGCTTCATTTCGTCCCTCCCGCGCCATCCTTGATTTGACAACCCGTCTAATGTACAGCGACGAAGTTCCCATTCCTTCTCTGCGTGCCTTGGGAGGCGAGCTGACCCGTTTGTCAGCGCCGCAGGCTGGCAGCTAGTCCTGCCTTGAGCGATGTTGAACATTTTGCTGCCTTCCTTTCCTCGACCGCGCTCGCTGGCTTCGAAGTCCCTCTGCTGAGAAAGTCAGTCATCGCGATGGGCTTTCGTCGCGTCCGCGTGCTTGTCGCCGTCGTTGCCCTCTGGGCTCTTGTGTCTTGGTACTACAGCTGGTCCCCGCCTAACGGCTCGAAAGTGTTTGGCTCCGTGCTTGGACCCGGCCATCGACCTCCCATAGACTTGGCTGGATCGCGAGATCTTCGGTGGGAGAGGCGGCCTCCTCGATATCCCGTCAAGAAACTGGCTACGCTCCCGACCCGCAAGCCTGCCGAACCAATACCACGTATACAGGCGGCGAAGCCACAGGAGAGTGCTTCTCAGAAGGATGAGCGCTTGCGTCGACTCGCGTCCGTCAAGGACAGTTTTAAGCATAGCTGGAACGGCTACAAAAAGCACGCGTGGGGCCACGATGAGATCAAGCCCATTTCAGGCCGGTACAAGGATCCGTTTGGCGGTTGGGCTGCCACGCTCGTCGATTCATTAGACAGCCTATGGCTTCTCGGGATGGAGGAAGACTTCGCGTTCGCGGTGCAGGCGTGCGACAACATCGACTTCACGACCACGGAGGAATACAGTGTTAATATATTCGAGACTGTAATTCGGTATCTCGGCGGATTTTTGGCGGCGTACGAGCTGAGCGCGAAGGCATACCCAAGCCTGCTTAAAAAGGCGACCGAAATCGCCGATTTGGTGATGACAGCCTTCGATACCTCGAACCATATGCCCATTACGAGATTCCCCTGGAGAGAATACGCCAGCGGTCAGGTACGGGAGGGGAGGGGCCACGCTCTAATTGCGGAGCTTGGGTCGTTGAGCCTCGAGCTTACCAAAATGTCCCAGTTGACCGGTGATATGCAGTACTACGATGCCGCGCAGAGAATAGCCGATGAACTGGAAAGGGGCCAGACGACAACGACCCTTCCGGGGATGTGGCCGATCATGGTTGACACTTCTACGACTCCGGTCAAGTTTAGCGGGGATTCGTACACGCTCGGCGGAATGGCTGATAGCACCTACGAGTACCTAGGAAAGCAGTACCTCTTGCTCGGGGGGGCACTGGACCAGCCGCGGAGGATGTATGACGGCTTTATCGACGTCGCAAAAAAGCATCTCCTTCGGCGGGCCCTAAATCCGGATAACATCCCGTTGCTCTTCTTCGGCGACGCGCGCGTTGTCCGTACCACTTCGGGCGACAAACAGGTCGTCACAACGCCGAGGGCGCAGCATCTCACGTGCTTCGCGGGAGGCATGGTGGGGATGGCCGCCAAGATATTCGATCGGCCGTCAGATTTGGGCGTAGCGGAGCAACTGACTGACGGGTGTGTGTGGAGTTACAATCAAACCGCGTCGGGGATCGGGCCCGAGATCTTTCACTTCATCCCCTGCGACCCGGACTCGGCGAAGGATGATTGTAAGTGGACGGACGACCGTTGGAAGGCCGCGCTACAGAAGTACTGGGGGAAGGATAGCAAGAGCGACGCGCTCACGGACGAACGACTACAGACGATCATAGACACGTCACGGCTGCCCCGGGGTATGGTGGACGTGGACGACCGCCGGTACATCCTCCGGCCGGAGGCCATCGAGTCGGTGTTTATGATGTACCGCCTGACAGGGAACAGCAGGTACATGGACAAGGCCTGGGCCATGTTCGAAGCGATCGAGAAGCGGACGCGCACCCCGTACGCCTCGGCGGCGCTGGGCGACGTGACGGCGGATCGGCCGATGCAGGTGGACAGCATGGAGAGCTTCTGGCTAGCCGAGACGCTGAAGTATTTCTACCTGATCTTTGGGGATTGGGAGCTGGCGAACCTGGACGAGTGGGTGCTCAACACCGAGGCGCATCCGCTCCGACGCGTAGACGCGTGACGGGCAAGATGGGGAGGACGGAGCTATGCTATCTCTATGCCTATTATATATATATATATATATATATATATGTGTGTGTGTGTGTGTGTGTGTGTGTTTCGTGCGACACATATCTAGGTATATTAGGTAGATACACGACAGACGCAATTCGGAGTCCCGTGGGCGCAGAGACAACGGCAACAGCGAGGGGTAGTAGCTCGGAGCTGAGAATCCCCCAGCAGGTGTTGGGATGCCTATAGGCACCTGGGTGTATTTATTCCCTACGCGGGCTTTCGCGCTGCGTGGCAACGGAGGCCTTGCTGCTACTTTCGAGATCCAGGATCTGCAATGGATAGCCGGGGCGATGTTATACCTAGGCAGGTAGAGGTATCAGGCGGTTGTTCCAACTGGGGTCGGCGTCCGCTTAGATAATTACCTACCGTCTAGGCAGGTGGTAAGCAGGTACCTACCTTCAGCTGGTAGATAAATCCTTCGCTGCCCTCTCTCTCTCTCTCGGCGGTTTACTCCTCCGCTCCTCTCCCACCTTTTCTCCCTCCTCCATCTCCGCATCTCATTTGGTCCATCTTTACTTCGAGTATTCCCCCGGTGCCGGGAGGGGGGAGGGGACAGATTGTCAACCAACGTCGCGACCGAGCCGAGAGAGATGGCGACCGTGCGAAGCATGCCGCCCATCCAATCTCACGACAACAAAAACCAATTTGCCCGTCTGATTCGCCGTCGTCCCAGCGGCCGCAAACAGCTAGCGCGCGCCCGCTCACTCAGGCATCACGTCGAGCAAGCGACTTCAATGGCCGGCAGGTTCCTCTCCTGTTTGTCGAATGGGAGGCCCTCTGGCCGTCACACATCGCCATGCTAGCTTAGCACGGCACGGGAGGCCGCGGTTCAGGGATGCGTGGACGATGGGCATCGACCGACCGGCCACTCTCCCACAGTGTGCATACACTCTTGCGCACTACCACGTGTACATACACTACGTAGGTAGTAGTGTGTGCGTGCGTGTGCGTGTGTGTGTGTGTGTGTGTGTGTGTGGGCAAGAGAGCGCGAGCGAAAGACGCTCGCCCTCTTCACCGCCGAGGACGTCATTATTATATTCTTTCTACAGGCCTAGCCAAGGTAGGTAGGTAGGCCGGTAGGGATGAGGTGGCCGACAGCCCTCCCTTGCCACCGTCCGCCCTACGTATGTTCGCTCCCTTCCCCACGGTCAAGTCTCTGTGAATGTGGAGGTACTGCGTGCTTGCCGATCAGCTACCGTTAGGTTATCATGAGACCGGCTGGGGGGGACCTTCATCAATCGGTTCGCCCGACCGTACACGGGTTGCCTCCTCACGTACCGTCTCCTTCTACAGCAATTTGAGCTCGGGCTGCCCTGTTAATCCGTTTCTCCAGGTGACGTGCCTGGATCTAGCCAAGCCTACGATGACCAAATAGTTTGCTCATCGTCGGCGGATATCTCGCGTGACAGCACACCAGGCCGTGACAGATTCCGAGGTCCCCACGGCAGACTCCAGCCCGCGCTCCCTAGCCGTGCTGACACCCGTCGGACCTCCATATATATCGCGCTTTGTGCCCCCCTTTGTTGGCGGCCGCGCTATCTGACCTTACATATGTGCCTTGCGTCTATCTGATTCCTCACCCACTCGCACTCAGATAGGTCTTACCACCCCCGCCCCTATGCCCGAGCTTTCCAGGAGCCTTCTGTGGTCGTTGATTGATACGCACCCAAGCCATGGCCTCCCGCCCTTCGTCGACCTCCGCCCTGCATTCGCATTCGCGCCAGGGTGGCTATGAGCAGACCGCTAATCCCGCCGCCAATTCTTCTCGACCTCCCCTGCATACACCACCATTCCGTTCCCATTCCTCTCGCAGTTCTCGCGAGAATGCTAAGAGCACGGCCGTAGAGGCTATGGATGGGAACACCGAACAGCCCATAGCCCGCCACCCATCCGTCGCAGCTGGTGACGTCGAGTCGCAGTCGGGGAACTCGCGTTACAGGAACAGTGACCCTTTCAACCTCTCTTCGGCTCTCAAGACCGACGAGCAGCTCGACGAGATCAAGGCGAATACCGCCCGCAAGCGGACGGTGCGGGGTGCTTCGGCCGTCCCCCAATTTGCCCCTAGCTCTCGCGCAAGAAGGGTTCAAACGTTCTACCGCAGCCAGAACGAGGCCATCGAGCGCATGCTCAAGTCGGTCGAGGAGCACAGAGCTGAAGCCCAACACGAAGCTGGCGAGGACCACCTGCGGTATCGGGTTGCCGTCTGGGGCTCGTTCGTGGCAAACATAGTCCTATCGATCCTTCAGTTGTACGGTGCCATATCGTCGGGCTCCCTCTCGCTCTTCACCACCATGGCGGATTCCGTCTTCGACCCCCTGAGCAACCTCGAGCTCATGATCACTCACCGGGCCGTAAAGAAAGTGGACCCCAACCGTTTCCCCTCCGGCAAGTCTCGCCTCGAAACGGTGGGAAACATAACCTTCTGCTTTATGATGGTAGCCGTATCCGCTATTCTCATCGCCTTCTCGTGCCAGGACATTTCGCAGCGCCATGGCACCGGCGACGTAGTTAACAACTTCTACCTCCCGTCAGTGATCGCTGTCTGTATCGCCTTCGCCACCAAGTTTGCCTTGTTTCTCTACTGCTGGGGCATCAAGGACAAGTACAGCCAGGTCGACATCCTGTGGCAGGACCATCGGAATGACTTGTTGATCAACGGCTTTGGTGTGTTGACGTCCGTCGGCGGCTCCAAGCTTGCGTGGTGGATCGACCCCATGGGCGCCATCATCCTATCGCTTCTCATCAGCGGCATCTGGCTGCACACGGCATTTCACGAATTCATGCTACTGGTCGGCACTGCTGCGCCCGTTGAGATGCAACAGCTAATCACATATGTCTGCCTTACACACTCGGACGCCATTCTAGGCATCGACACTGTCCGTGTGTACCATTCCGGACCCCGGCTGATCGCCGAGATTGACATCGTTATGGATCCCAACGACACGCTCAGAAACACGCACGACGTCGCAGAGGCGCTACAGATGGAGCTAGAGAGGCTACCTAACGTAGAGCGAGCTTATGTCCATGTCGACTACGAGACCACTCATAAGCCGGAGCACGCGGTCAAGAAGGATTTATGATCCGGGATCGGCTGTGAAAAGAAATGAGCACCGGTATTCGCATTCGCGGTAGGACGTCAACGACATCATCAGATCATGGTTTTATGTGTAACGGATTATAGGCTGCGAGTTCGTGAGGTAGGGAGGGGTGACAGCTCTCGTTTAGATAACGGAAACAAGAAAAACCGAGATAGAAGAGGATGAATGAGAAGGGGAGAAGAGAAGGGGGGAAGATAACAAAACAGACGGACAGTGGCGGCAACACCTGGGCGTGCGTAAGTCTCGGAAAGGTGTTGGTAAAAAAGAGCCTTCGGGGGCAAGGGGATAGGCAGCCAGTCTCGCTCCAGCCGGAGAAGCATCCGAATGATTGATTCACCTCGTAGTAGATAGTTTCTAATGATTGCCTATCCTATCAGCCCGCCCTGCTCGTCTCCCGGGCAGCTATTAGTCCACGAGTGTGAGTCAACCGACATCTGGCAATTAATTCTACCTGACATCGATGTGGTCGAGATTTGCGTACACCTTCTGTACGAGGTAGGTGAGGTGGGGCCATCACCACCCTCGATGTCGAAAACAAAATAGTATAGGTTGGTTTGTGTGGGCACTTGGCATTTTATATTGGGCCTCTTCGTTTCTTGCCCTGCCTCGACTTCCGCTTACCTCCCTCTCCGTCTCTCCGCCTCCTTGCCTTCTTTCCTTTTCGGCCTTAGTGAGGAAGATCTTGTCGCTTATGAGCCGGGATCTCGGGCACCATATTTTCTACCAGGGTAGCCAGCTAGGTTAGATCCGTACCTACTAAGCTACATCTTTACTAGATTAGGCATGCCGACCTATGCACGCAGCTGCTTGGGTTCTACACGTATCGCCGACCGGCTGGCGAGAGACGGCGCCGCGGTAAACTAATTGAAGACGTCAAGGAGGTAGATGAACCGCCGAATCGAAACCTAGGCGTCGATAAGGAAGAAGAGATGAGAGGCTCGGGGAGGGGGGTGAATAGATGTCCAACTGCCCGGCATGCCGCCGGGAAACTTCTAGAGCGTCGAGAAAATCTGTCGAATATTGCCTGAAATAGGGGGTGTATCGTGATATCTCTTACCATCCCTCTTGGTTCCACAGTCATACGAAAGGCGCTCGCCACGCGCCCCGGATCTTGCCAAAAACATTAATGTTGCAACGGTGCAGTTATCCTCTCGTGCGCACTATCGGCTTTCGGCTCTCCCGTCGCGAAACTAGATATGCTTGAAAGCCAAGTAGTCTGACGGGTAGGTGGTATGCAGATATTGCTCTATAATGGAGCTTGGTGCGCTGGAGCCGCGTAGCCGGGTAGAAGGAGCTAGAACCTGATCGGCGGGAGTGATCTTCCCAGCGCCGTAGAGCCCCGCCCTACACGAGCGAGCTGGCGTCGCCACTCGCACGGAACGCAGAACGACGACGATAGAGACTGGTCTGTGTAGATGCGGGCGTAAATATAGTCGTAGGCACCCCGAGAACGCGCCACCGAGGGGAGTGCTTTCGGCCTGTCATGACGTGCGAAACACAGGCTGACCAACTTAGCCCCCGTCAACGTCGATCGATCGGGGCTTGTGAATATGGGCTTCAAGGGATTATTGGCCACCTCCCTATCAAGACAGTCGCATCCGAGGATGAAGTCCACCGACACGATGGTGGATATTGTGGACTTCCGCAAGGGCCATAGGAAGAATGATGGTAGAGTGTAGGTTCTGAGGTAGCTTACTTCGTGTTTTCCCCAGATGTCGTCAGCCTATAGCCTATCGCTTCCTAGCCGTATGGGCTGCTTCGCTCTGTCCCGTTCGTCTGTGCATGTGTGTCTTCTTCCTCGCTTCCCATACGCTTCATACTCGGAAGGGGCGCGAGAGCGTGACTCAGGATACTCAAACGTAGGCATCTCTTCACACAGGAAGAGACCCACAAGCGGTGCTTCCCTGCCGAGATACTTGGGAGACAAAAAGGGAGGCAGGGGGGTTAGGCAGAGGCTTCTACTTACAGACTATGGTAAACTTGTTCTTTCCATACAATATAGGTGTTGCCTCTTCGTTTATCTGCCTGCAAGTCCGTAGCAGCTCAACGTAGAGCTTCTGGTAGAGATAGGAAGGGTAGGGCTGGGACCCCGCCGGGCCCACCGCGCGATGATACACATGAACTTGGTGCCGGCGCGGAGAGATTAGGATATGTCCCGGAGACCAGAGCAGGCACTCGTAGATTTCCAGACGCAGCTCGACTGGTAAACTGAATAGACAGTGCGTTCTCGGACCGCTCGCACCATGATCCCGTCGGCGAGAAAGAGCAGGAAGCGTGTTCTAAGATGATTGGCAGATCTAGTCAGCATCACGTCTCCCATATGAATACATTAACCTAGCGGTCTTGGAGTTGACGTGCGCGCGAGTACGGCGGCAGCAGGACTATCGTTTGGTCCGGAAGATGCCCATCTAATTCCAACCTGATCCGATAGCTTCGTATGAATCTCGGCAGGTTAGGCCGCCCGGGCTATGCCGGCTCACGACGGAGGGGTAACCGTAACAAGATGTGCATTGGCGATAAGGTAGCTCGGCATGATGAGCTTGCGGAAGGGGGCCAGTCTTACCACGGTATGGCGACGAGCTAGGCTTGTCGGCCGCTTAGTTGCCCTGTTATCGTGATGGCAAAGACTGGATCCTCTAGCCATGGCTGTAGAGGAGTGGATAGCGCACGGTGGTGAGGTTGGTGAGGGGTTAGAGCAGGGCGGGACCTGTGTGGTCAGGTAGGATTGTGTGGGAGAAGAATGCAAGGAGATATTTGCAGATGGTCCGACTTATGGATGGAATCCGAGATGAGGGATAGGACTAGATCTATCGATCCCGAAAATTGTCTTGGGCTCACTTGCAGGTGACTTGGGCAGAAGAAGGGCTGGCCTGAGAGGAAGTCGGGAGATTTTGCAGGAGTATGTCCACCGGGGCCAGCTATGTCAGCTAGGGTCAGCAGCAGGGCAGACAGACGTCCAGCAGGCTGGCGGGTGCTTTACAGACGTCTGATGGGTGCTGCCGGCAGTTCGCAGCCCGGTACAGGGCTGGCCGGGCGAGGTTACGGGCCTGACATACTTTAGGTATCTTAGGTAGCTATGTTAGGTGGGGTGGAGACCTTGGCTGCAGTTAGGTACCTACCTACGTACCGCCAACCTTTACGAGGTGGGAGAGCCGGGATGTGTACATGAATACCCACATGGTGGGGGGAGGGGTAAAAAAAAAAAAGAGCCTTAGGTTGCTTTAGTAGGTACCTTTCTCCTCTCCCCCCTCTCTGCCATTGAAGGCACTTGAGAGAGCTATGTAATCTGCGCCAAAAAAAAAAAAAGAGACATAACCAAACCACCGCTGCTCGAGGGCTAAGAGACCCCCGAGGACAACCAAGTTCGGGTACCTAAGCGAACTAACTACTCAACCTACATAACTGCATGGCAAGCAGGGGAGGCTGAAGAGAAGAAGCCGGTTTCGGACGAGCGCACTGACGACGGTTTTATGTAGGCAGATGTATGCACATATGCACAGTTGCCACACACAGTTCCTACCTGCCTTTGCGGGGTTGTCCCGACCGTGGTCTGATTCGCCGCCACGCGCGTCCCGTGGGTTGTTCCATGGCCGGTCGCCAGCCCGCAGCTCGAGGGCTGTCGTCATTCTACATACATTGCATATGTACGTACTGTAGAGAGCTCCTGCTACCTAGCAATCGGAAACCTCTTCCCTCTCTGCCCGTCCTCCGTGCCTCCTCCCCTTCCCTCCAGAGGATGTCGCTGTCTTGGAGGTACTAAGGTACCTAAGACGTGTCAGGCCTATGAGGGCAGGCACCGAAGGTAGGTAGAGGTAGGTAAGTACCTACCCCTTACCCTGCCTAGGTACGTCAACTGCAGGTTAGCCACTCCCCAAAAGGGCAGAGCGATATAAGAAAATTCGCAAACCGGGCAGGCAGCAGGGTTAGCCTCTCCTGTCTAGGTAGGTAGGTAGCTTTAGCCCTCGCCTCCCGCCTTGCTACCTACGTCTTACCGCAACTTTTGCGAAGTGAAGATGGCCTTAGGTACCTACCTAACCTCTACATCAGGTACCTAGCACGGGCTTGTACCGCATGTGTGTGGAAGACGCCTAGAGGCACCCGTACATACGCCTCGATGTAGGTATCTGGGTAGGTACCTAATGTGTATGCACATGCACGTTATTTCTTCTGGTGGGACCGAACAGGCGATTTCCAGATTTCTTGGCCCAGATCTCGCTCAGCATTGGACATCATCCCCTTCTTACCCTCTCGCCCTCTCCACTATCCACAAGTTCTCTATTCCTGATCCCTTCTTATGTTGATTTTTTTTTTCCCACCCTAGACTCCCGAATTCATATCGACCGGGCCTATCAGTTCTCGCCAGTCTGCCATCCCCTTGTGTACCAACTCAGACAGTGTCGGTAGTTTTGCCATGATAGATTCAACTGCCTGATTCTCTCGACAGGCCCGGCTCGGTTCGCGCGTAGACGCCCAATCTAACATCCCGCCTATCGAACCCAAGTTACATTCCCAACACATATCCTGAGTCCGCATGCGCGGCCAGGTTCTCCCGCCTGGATGCTGATACGGTTCGTAAGTTCTGCTATGCTATGTGCGATCGTACATGCATGCATACATACACCTGGACGTGCCCAACGTCGAGAGGGTCCAGCCACTCAGCGGGCAAGACGAAAAACGAGGTCTAAGTGAGCCCTCGAGTGTGGAGACCACTGGGCGAGCACACGAGTATGAGGGAGAGAGGGCGAGGCGAGGTGTCGTCAACACCCTGGTCAGTGAAGTAACGCTAACGTCGCATTCTGATCGGTTAACGCCCAGTTTGAGCGACCTATTTTCATCCTGGTAGGTCCTCAGGAGCGAATGTTGGGAGTAAAGGCGGGAGAAAAAAAAGACGAAGGAGACGATAAAAAAATCTCGACAGGCCCTTCTAGCCAACCTTGCCAGCTGTATCTTGCATCGTCAATGCAGACGTCCGGAATTGCATATTGGTTTTGCCATCAGTTACTACTATCGGTCTTATTGACTGAGCAATATCTATCGGGCCTTGTCTGCATTTGGCCCTCTCCTGCCTAGACTACAATCTCGCCAACTTCCCCTCTACTTCTTAAACCTCACCGCTGCCTCTACACTCCTCCTCAATTCCTCGTCTCGAAACCATCAAGCTTGTTGTGCCCCCAGCCGCGATCAAAGCCCACGCCTTAGCAGCGATCTCACTGCAGTCTACGTCTTTCTCATTTTGATTCCATCTCCCGCCTCAGGCTTCCCGAACGACCCTAACACGAAAACCCCCGCCATTTCTTCGCACACCATGGCTGTGCAAGGCGGAGCGGAGGAGGACGTGTACGCCACTGTTCGTGAGACCTACCTCAGCACACCTGTGGAAGGCGGCTAATCTGTCTCTTTGTTAGCTTCTTCTGAGCGACTCGTACTTGCCTGGTGTGTTCTGCAGCCTCCCCTACGTTGTAGAGGACTGAATCTCTAATATCGCTTCTCTTCAAGGTGCTGTCGTGCTCGCGCATTCCCTGCGGGATGCTGGCACCACCAAGAAACTGGCCGTCCTGGTCACTTTGGATACCGTATCCGAGGAGGTCGTAACGGAGCTCCAAGTAAGCCAGCCCGTTCTTGCGCGCCTAGGAACTGTGGTTGACTAATTCTACTAACTGCTCAGGGTGTCTTCGACTATGTCATACCCGTCAGTCGCATTCAGAATTCTCGGCCTGAGAATCTGCAGTTGATGAATCGAACCGACTTGCACTCCGCCTTCACCAAGATCAACTTGTGGAAGCTGGCCCAATTCCGGAAGATCGTCTACATCGACGCTGATATTGTCGCGTACCGGGCTCCCGATGAGCTCTTCGACATAGCCGCCCCGTTCTCGGCAGCTCCTGATATTGGCTGGCCCGACATCTTCAACACGGGCGTCATGGTTCTGACTCCGAACTTGAAGGACTACAACGCCTTGGTGGCGCTGGCGGAGGAAAACACCTCCTTCGACGGCGCCGACCAGGGCCTCATCAACATATATTTCGGGGGCAAATTCAACCGCATCAGCTTCACCTACAATGTCACTCCTTCTGGCCACTACCAGTATACTCCCGCCTACCTTCATTTCAAGTCGAGTATTAGTTTGGTCCATTTCATCGGCTCCGACAAACCGTGGTTTAGTGGAAGGCGCGCCGGAAGCGGGGGCCCCTACGACGAGATGACCGGTAGCTGGTGGTCTGTCTACGACCGGCATTACTCGGTGAGTGATCATGTACTATTGTGTCTGTCATGGCACTGGACAATTCGGCTTACTCTACATATAGTCCTCATCTGGTACGTCCTCAGACTTGGTGCGATATTTCACCAAGGGCGAGTACCACCCCTACGGAAACAAATCTGCCTGGAATTCCCAGAGGTGAGTTGGCCGCCCTTCGATACCCATGGAAACGGGAATGCTGACCTGGCCCAGGCAATCCTCTTCCCAGGGTTCGCAGTACGGAGCTTCCAACTTCCCCACTACTGTTTACCAGACGGCTCCGGCATTTGTTCCTAGCGACTCATGGTATCACCCCCCCGCCGCGAGGATGATATTCCCTTGGGAAGCTCACAGGTCGCCGCCGTCACGCGTGTTTGACGACGACCCGGTTTGGACAGAGGAGGAAGAGGTAGAGGAGGAAGAGTCTGGCGCCGAAGACCCAGGGACGCCCACGGGCGAGATGCGATCCCCGTCTCTACTGGGAGAGTCTTATTCCGTAGAGACGTCTACCGTTGGGCAAAATACCGAGCCCACTACACCAACCACGCCTAGTCACAACATGTCGTCCGAGTCGTGGTCCTCTTTTACTTTGACCAACGCTTGGGACGAGGTACCTGAGATAGAGCGCTATGTTGACGCGATGCAGAAGTATCGACGGATGCGCAGCGCCAAAGGATTCTCTGAGCTCCCAAACAAGGCCACAGAATTCCCTAGCGATATCGAGCGCCCCAGCCTTCCTGTCACTCCAGTGCCTACCCGTCGGCCTCCTCAATTCTGGTTTGGCCCTGTCGCTGGCAGTGGCAGCGCAGACCAGAAGACACCGCCAGCCGCAAAGGGCGTACCAGCGCAAAACGAGTGGGTATGTACACTCGGAAATGAGTGACACTTCGCAGATACCTAGCAATTGACTATTGACTAACGAGTTGCGTGGCGGACAGGACCCCATAGCACAGCTTGAGAAACTGTCCGGGCAACCGACCGAGGAGGTGTTGCTGAAGCTCGAGAGTAATAGTCGAGATGGCAGTGATTGGGCCCCTAGGCCCTCGCCTTTCGGCACCGACAAGTAAGTTCCTTCGCCCTGTGCTGTGCCGTGTACTCATTTTCTAAGATACCAACCAGCAACAAGCAGCTCCGGCTCAAGGTCTCTACCCAGTAATGAGGCCGGCCGGGGGATCGCGCCTCTAACGGGATCGGCTCGAGGCAGTTCAGCCGCGGGTGCGGCACCTATATTAGAGCCTAGCTACGCAGGCCCCGGGCCTGCATTCGAGAAAGGCGAGAATATTCTCACAGCGGACACATCAAGTTCGTGGATACCCACATCTCGGCCTGTCGTGAGCGCGAGAGCGTCAGCTATACCGGAACCCAGCTATGCGGGCCCTGGACCTTCGTTCGAGAGGGGAGAAAACATTCCCTAAGAAGTAGCCTCCACAGCGATAACCCCGCGAAGCCAACAAAGGGAGGTAGTAGTTCTAATATACCGATAACCCCTGTCAGAAGAATTACTCAACTCGGGCTTGCTTGAGGGTAGGGACAGAAGGGCCAACGCTGGGGACACTTGTATGGCGATTTAAGGATCAAGGGCAGGCCTGTTGCGTTTGACATACCAGGGATGGTATGATAGGGAAGGCTCGGGGACCATTCTCGAGAGCCTTTTATCTGCGGCGAACCCAAACCTGTCATCTGGTAAATTTTCTATGTCTCAATTCCTTTTCTAGTCATCCCTATCCACTCTCTTACAGAATGTCACATTTACACAACATCCCGCTGCAACTGCACTGAATCGTAGCAAGCAGGCAACGAAACCGACTGTCCATCTTCTTTGTTCCCGACGAAATGGAAAAAGAGAGAAACCTTGTTCTCACTTTCATATCACCGGCCGCATGTGTATCTAGATCATCATCACATGGCTTTAGGTAGCGCAAAAGCGATTCATGCCTACATCATATATATACATCCCTCACCCTCTTGACATACTCTTCATTTACTCTTTATTTTTCACTCACGGGGACAAGGAAATGGTACTTGGATAATATATACAATCCGAAATACTTTAAAAGGCACAACAAGCGAGATGATGATTTCTATGGTGAGCGACCATGGATGGTTGGCGCGGACCGGGGCCGTGGACAGACTTGGGAGGGACTGCTGGAACGTACTGGAGGTGGAGGGAGACACCTAATATATACCTATATTATATATTAACCAAGATCTACCGGAGGCTAGTTCTCTACTAGGGGACGAAAAAGCAGCGCGAGACACGATCGGGAGGAGTTGTTGTGTCGATGCGAAAGGGTGACGTATATAGGCTAACGAAGAGAACCCATCCATGTCACTGTCTCTCGGAAGCCCGAGACCAGCGGAGTATCGGAGTATGGTCATTTCGAGTTGCATTTCTTCTGCCCTTTCGTGTGTCTACACCTCCCTCGGCAGTCACCCGGTGCTTATAGGGTGTTACGACGTGTACCCGACGCGGCACCCTTAGTAGCAACATCCGAGGAGCGCGCGTGGAGGCGGCGGTACGGTCACTTGGATTGGTGCCGGGCTATCTAAGGCGGCTCACGTTTCATCTCGATCCATCTCGGAATTGGGCACCGAAGGCCCGGCTTCATCCGCTCGGTAGGGCCGTCTAGACTACGGTGGGCCTGGCCGTATAGCCCGGAATTACTCAGCCGTAAGCTCCGGGTGGTTGGGGTTGCCGTCCAAAGGCCGACGGGAGTCCCGCCCCAAGTCTCGTCGGGTCATCCCGCGACGCCCGACGACGGGGCTGACCTACGCCGGATAACGGCCACGACGTGCCACCGTTTCCGCTCGCTGACGTCCTCGTGGCCGCGGTCCCAGGCCCACTCACGCTCGACGCCGTCGCAGTCGCGCTCATGGATGCTCTCGAGCTCTAGCTCAACGGTGCCGAGGGCGGACTCGGCGAAGAAGTCGCGCATCTTGGCGCGACCGGTGTGGAACCCGGCGACGATCCAAGCTTTGGCTTCGGCGGAGGGACGATCGCCATGCTTGGCGCCCTTGAGAAACCAGGCTATCGACCTGTGCAGGTTGGCGTGCTGCCACGGCATCCATAGGCAGTCGCACACAAAGACGCGGTCGAACCGGCCCCGGTCCTGGGTCGCGAAAGGAGTATCCAGCTCCCCCCAAGCGTGGCCGGCAACGGTGATAGGCGCCAGGGTACCGAGGGGGGAGCACCCGACCGTGGCGTTGGCGGCTATATTATTACGTAGCATCTCTAAAACGGTGGTGGAAGGGTAGTCGGACGCAACGACGCCCTTTGCGCCGAGAAAGGCAGCCATGAGACTCGGCAGGGCGGTGCCAGCGCCGAGTTCCAGACATTCGAGACCGGCGACATTGAAGTCGGCCGGCTTTGGGCGGCCGGCGCCAACATGGTAGGGCAAACCGAGGCTACCAGCCTCGATGAGCTCGGCAAGCAGCAGGCTCGAATTCCAGAGATAATGGCTGAAGAGCTTACGATCGCTGTCCTGGCTCGGATCGGCCAAGGCGATGTGCAGGGGCTTGGGCAGGTGAGGGGAGAGATAGACGAGGGAGTGGTCCGCGTCGCCGTGCTGGTTTGTCACGTCGTCCGGGAAGATGACGCCGAGGGAAGCGCTCAGGTAGTCCTCGGGATCGGAGGCGGGAGGGCCATGAAGCTCGATGCGGCTCGTGAGCGCCATCCTCCCTCGGCCAGGATCTGAGGCTCACGGCAGCGAGCTCGTTTCGCTCGTGTCTGCACAGGGAGACGCAGCAAGGCGTGCGTGTGTGCGTTGTCGCTAGCAATACCAGTAGCCGGGTAGGGTATAATGACAAGACGGGAGGCTGGCGGTGGATACGAACGTACAGGGGAAGCCAAGGAAGTGAGGCGGGCACATATTACCTAGGGCACCGCTTGGGTCCCGGCAACGCTGGGTAGGTGAGCGATTGGGTACGGAACGGAGGCGGTAACCAGGAGCAGAGCAGAGGAGGGGAGGGGAAAGGGAGGGAGGGGAGAGGACGGAATAAGATCCGTCGGCCTCGTCAAATGAGGGATGGGTTTTGGCGGAATTTTGGAAATTTTGGAGAGGGGAGGGGGGGAGACGAGTTTTTTTTTTTCCCCTCCCGCCGAAATAACCCCCCCCCCCCCCCCTCCCCAACCTTGCTCACTCGCTCAACAAGATAACAACTCACGATACAATTGCCGAAGGGTACCAATACTGATGTGAGGATATAATGACGATATTATGAATGGAAGTTAGTAAAAAGTGGCAAAAAGGAATAGAAAATACAATAGAAAGAGAGTGAGGAGACGGTGGAGAGAAAATAATAATATGGAGGCAGGTTAATGAATGCCATGCAGCGTGCGCACACGACGTACATCCCGTAGTTATGCATGCCAGGAATGTCACAGCGTATTGCAGGCGTGGACAAGAGAAATTCGGGTATTACGAGGATGAGTATGTAGACCTGCCTAACCTCCAGGCAGGTATTATTTTATCGTTATTATTATTTTTATTATTTTTATTCCAGACGCAAGGCGGCCGAGCCTGCTGCGCCCCTTCACCGCTTTGCTCCGTCGCAGCCAAAAGCAAGAGAACACCACTGAGTTGCAGGCGCCCAGTGCGAGCCTGCACAGGCGCCTCCCTTGGCCCGCCGCAGGTACCTGCCTGCCTCTACCTATCCACCTGCCTCTGCGCCGTAAGTATGCCGGGCGACAATGATGATGATGATGATGATGCCTAGGTGATGGATGGGCACTGGTCTGTCAGTGTGAACTGGGCCGACCCCGGTCTACACGTGGAAGAGCGAGGCCCCTCCTCTCCTCCTCCCCCCCCTCCCCCTTCGTGTGCTACGCCTCAAAAACAAAACCAAAAAAAAGGCCCACAAACGCCACGAACCCCGGTGGCCCCCGCCGGTGGCCCACGGACAAGGGCACAGGAAGCCACGGACTTATCCGCGCGCACCGCCGCCGTGGACGAGGGACCGCGGGAAGGGGGAGGCCTCGATGCGGGTCGCCCTCGTCAGCATGACCGCATCGCGTACCCTCCCTCCCTCCTCCCTCCGTTTCCCCCCCCCTCTCTCCTCTTCTCTCCCTTCCTCCCCCCTCGTCCGCACACGCCCGCCACCCACCCATTCGTTCATCCACCGCCATCCCACTTCTTGGCCCCCCCCCCCCCCCCCTTCCCTCCATCCCCCTCCTCCCCCATCTCACCACACCTCGCCATCTGCAGACGCTGTAGCCGCGACACCGCGGGCCGCTAGACGGTGCATTTCAGCTACGAACGAACAGGTGCACCAAAAAAGAAAAAAGAAGAAGAAAAAGAAAGAGAGGTACCTACACGCCGGTTACAACAGGGTCGGGCCAATGTTGCGGTCAGTCGGCTGCCCGTCCCGTTAGTGTCTCAGCAGGCAGGCAGGCAGGCAGTCAGGGCAGGCGGGCAGGGGCGGGACGGAGAGCGCAGAGGAAGACGACGAGAGAATGCGCCAACAAACACAGGTAGACCAGGGGGGGCAGGGGGGGGAGAGAGAGAGAGAGAGAAAGGGGGAGGGGGGATTAGGGCAAAGTCCAGACACCGAAACACACCCCCCCCCCCCCCCTCTCTCTCCTCCCCTTCCGGCGCCCGCCCAATGGCTAGCCTTGGGTGACGGCCCAGAGCCCGATGGATGCGTGATCGCCTCGGCATGCCAACGAGACGTGCATCGAGATACCGCTCGCTACGCGTAGATGCCGTCGACGGACGGTACGCCGCGCGCCCAGAATACCTGCTCGGCCGCAACCCTGCGTCTCAGCATCAGATAGGTAGGTAGGAGTTTTGACGTCGCCAGTCTCCGTCCTGCCTTCGTTGGCGAAACAGAACCTCGTCGTTGCTTAGCAAACCCCTTCCCCCCCTCCCCTTCCAAAAGGAGCAGACGGGACGATGTCGCAAAAACAACGCGGCAAGGAGACAGGAGAAGAGAGGCAAGTGCAAGGTGGATTAGGTATTCTTTCTTATTTGCGATCGAGAACCGACTAGGTCCTATTCGGTCTCGGCAACGCCGTTATGTCAAAGTCTCCTAAGTAACAATAGACAGGGTATCTGTACAAGCTAACAACTACAGAGATATTATATGTATCCCAAGATATAGAAACCCGGCCCCCATACCGGGCCGCCAAAAAAAAAAAAGACAAAGGAAAGAAAAACCGCAGCATGCTTCCCATACCCAGAGAGCCGCTTCGGCCTCTCACCCTAACCCCCCAACGGACGGTCTAATATAGCTCGCCGGTAAACACTCCCTCCTCGCCAAGGGCCGGGAATAGAGGCTTAACCTCTCGGAAGGGGGGGAGGGGGGGGGGGAATTAAAAATGCCACCAGGTTTCCAAATGTACAATAGTAGTAGTGCCCTGCGCCAGCCATGCTAATCCCAAGTCCTCGTCTCAGTCGTCACGGTGCTGTAGTTTTCAAGTATATCGGTACAAGAGTGGGTTTATGTCGATATGTACGGATTAGCGCCGGCTGTATTCCTGCATGCGTTGCATCTCCTCCTCTGTCGGATCGTCCGATATCCAGAGTCCCTTCTCCTCTTCCGTCGCGCCGAGGAAGCCCGTCGCCCGGTTCATCGTGTTGACGTCCAGGTCCGTCACGTACGACTTGCCGTCCGACAGCTTGATCCGCACCTCGTGCTCCGTCGAGAGCATCATGTCGTCCTTGGCCAGCCGCCGAGGGCCGTCGAACACCGCCATCACCCGCTTCTTCATCGTCATCTGGCCCTTGTCGAACCCCCACGACGACGGGTACTCGCGCCGGTTCTTGCGGCTCTTGGTCTTGGCCGACAGCGACACGCCGCCGCGCGAGTGCGTCATCCCCCGCGACTTTTGCACGCCGTTCGGAGGATTCCCCTTCTTCCTCATCGTCGGCGACGCCAACTTCCTCGCCTTGGCCTCGTCGTCCGGCAGGTCGTCCTCGTCGGCCATCTCGTCGTCTTCCTCATCGTCCGAGTTGGGGGCCGTCTGCGTCGTCAGAGGTAGCTGGTTCTTCTCCAACGTCTGCTGCACCTCTTCGTCGTTCTCCATCTCGGCCAGCCGCTTCGCGTTGATGGCCTCGGCGGGGTCTTCTTGCTGGACGATGCGCAGTACGCAGTCGTCCAAGTGCTCGTAAAAGTCCTGGGCATTGGAGAAGGTGGCCGAGCACGTAGAACACTTGCCCGTTGCGTCGGGGGCGTAGCCCGTCATCTTCTTGCCGCTATTCGCCGAGGTGGATGTCTTCTTCCTGCTATTGGGCGGCGTCTGCTCGACGCTGTGCACCGCCATCAGGTGCCGCTTGAAGACGTCCGCTCGGTTGAACGACTTCTCCGCGGCCGAGCCAGACCCCGGGCAGAAGCCACAAACCATGGTACCCTTGTAGTGAGTCAAGGTGTGCCGATTCTTGTCGTACTTGCGAGCGAAGCCCTTGATATGGTAGTCGCACGTCTGGATGGGGCACTTCTCAGGGCGCTCATTCTGATGAGTCAACATGTGCGCCTTGAGGTCCTTGAATGACTTGCCACACTCCGGATGGGGGCATCTCTGCCGCTTCTCCGACTCGTCGCCGTTGTACGGGTACTCGTGAGATCCGTGAGATTGGAAGGATGAGAGGCTTTGCCGCCTGGGCGGGGGCTGGGGTGCGGGGAAGGGACTATATCGCTGGTACGTCGGCACGTACGGCGACTGGCTTCCGTTTCTCCCGGCAACCGGAGCAGGTGATGCGGCGCCGGAGAGCGCCGGAGAGTTGGGATAAGGATTTTGGGGCGAGAAGTGGTTCTCATACCCCTGTAGTGGTGGGGGCATCGGACCGCGAAGCCCGTGGTGTATTAGTGACGGATCTAGACAGGGTTCAGAGTCAGCATACGATGTCCCTCGACGATGCTTCGGTGACAAAAAATGAACCAAGGCCAACACGGTCGAACGAACAAGTAGTTCTCTTCGACGCTGTTGCTGCCCGCGCTCGGGGTCGACGCCCGTAGCAATGCCCACAGGCGCGAGACTGGGCGTAGGCCAGATAACCATGTGAGATAGAGACCCGTGCCAACTCACCAACGAAACCAGGCTTGCTCTCGAAAGTGATGCTAAACTCATCCATACCTGCGCCTGTGAGGGCAGTATATTCGGTGCCCGTCACGTAGTCGCCCGAACCGACGATGCCGGGGTTGACACCCAGGCCAGTGTGCTGGTACTCGGGGAAGAAAGCCAACTGGCCGTGGTTCGAATTCGGCGAGCCGACTGTCGACGACGCCGCCGACGGCACCGACGCGGTGGACAGGTTTGACGGCGGGACCGGCAGCTCGCTATCGTCCGGGTACATGGTGGGGGGCGTCCTGCCGCTGTATACGAAGTTGTGGTGTCCGTCGGGGTAGATCGGGCCGGCGTCATACTCGGCCGGCTGAAACTCGTCCTGTACGCTACGGGGGATGCCAAACCCGGCGGGACTCATGTGCAGTTCCATTGGCGGCGAGGTATAGCCGGCCTGATGGGGGTCTGGGTAAAGCATGAAGTCTTGTTGATCATGCCGCGAGAACATGGCGTAGGAGTGGTCGGTGACCAACGTCATCTTGTATGTTTGCGAGAGTGTGCTGCCGGCAAGATAGGCGGCGCGCGTTGCCTATCGCGAGAGAACTAGCGGTTCCCAGCTAAATATATACTCTGCTCGCCCAACGCACCTCGTGTCAGCACCGCAACTTCGGACGTGGAGAAAGACGGGTGTGCGGCGGAGGGGTAATCTAGGCAGAAACTCACATTCGTTGCGGCCGGCTAGCGATGCCACATCAGCGGCCAACAAGACGAGGAAAGGATCCGGGGAGGGAGAAGAGGGGACAAGAGAGGCGCCACGGCCGAGGATGAGCAGCGGGGCAGAGGAGCAACGCGAGTGGTGCAGAGCACAAAACGATCGTGAGAGTGAGACGACGTGCGCGCGGCTTCGAGGATATGCCTCCTGGTGGTCTTCTTGCAACGTGGTGACCCCGCGGATGCGCGACCCCACTAGAGTGGATTGATGGGTGAAGTTGGATAGGGAGAGCGGTATGGTCGAGAGCGGTCGTTCGAAGTTGTGCCGGACACGGGAGAGAGGACCCGATCTATATATGTGGTATGATGCGGACGGGGGCGGCTCTCAGCTGGGGAATAAGGAGCCAAGGTCCAAGTCGCTAAGGACATGTGCGAGAGCGAGACTCGAGGGTTGACCTGTGTGGGCACTTGCAAATGGGGGCAGGAAGTGGTGATGGTGTTTTGGGGGCTCACGGATTCATATACACGCCTGCGCTTAATAGATGGGTAGGACTTAGCCGCGTCCGTCTCGAAGGGCATGTTGTATGTAGATCGATGATGATGAGGGCGTGGGTCAATACGTAGGGCAGAATCGAGGGAGTACCGTACTATACCAACGCTAGGGGACCAGACAGCGCAGCACAGCGGTGACAGGGGCCGCAGCACCTGGCAGGGGTCGTCGCTGCGCAGGCAGGTTACCTACTGACTCCGACTCCAGAGCCTTACCGAGGAGGTACACGGACGAGACGCACGTACCTAGCGTGAGTACCTACGTACCTAGGAGGGAGGGAGGTACCTACGGGGTTTGGGTACCGGGGGGGGAGGAGGGGGGTACGGGTACGGGCAGGGGCACGGGCAGGGGCACGGGCACAGGTGCGGGTACGGGTGTACTTAGATACGGAGATACATGCCGAGGGTACTTCCACCAGATAGGTACCTTTACCCTGGGAAGGTCTCAGAATCGACTTAACCTAAAAAGCACCCGGGTACGCGAGGGGGCCCGCAGGATCCTGGCGGGAGTGGGGCTCCATCGACGGTAGGGCGGGGGGGGGGGGCGTAAGCCTAGCCAGCACGGACAGGCAGCCCGTCGCAGTCGACTGCTGCGTTAGGTACGTACCTACCTACCTAGATACTTCGAGGAGTACGGATGTACATGCAACCTCGGACAGCATTACACGAGCATCTTAGGTACCTACATTAGGTATTACCTAGGTATCTCGTGGGTCTTCGCGATGGTGGTGGGGAGCGGGCGCGGGCGCGGGCGCGGGCGTGGGGCATGGGCGTGCCGTGGACGAGAGAGATGGAATGAGATTTTACTTGGTACTGAGGTGCATAACATAACATAGCATGGATAGTAGTGCCCACCAAAAGTACCCACCTAAGCTTCGGCACCATACATCTAAAGGCCATCTTTAGCGAGGGACCGCTTTATTACCTAAACTTTGGCGCGCCACGGACCGCGCTAAGACCCAATACCCGGCCAGGCTACGTAGGCTAGGGACATGTACCTAACGTACCAAAGGTCAGCGATGTGATTATGAGGTAGGTCGGTAGGTAGGTACATGTATGGATGTCGGATACACCACGCACCGGACGCCGACTAGCCAATGTATTCGATCCCATGTAAAGCATATATCCAGGGCCTATCCTAACGTACCGGCAAAACATGCGCGCACCTCTCATGCACGGGTTCTATAGACGTGTGTGTGTGTGTGTGTGTGAAGTTGAGGCAGCCTACACGCACAAGTCCCGCTTGAGGGGCAGGCAGAGCGATTGTAGGGCTTAGGGCGCTGACAGACAGACAGACGGCTCAAGTTCACACGCGCTTATATGCTTACGACCTCAAGCATCTCCCTATATAAGGGTATAAGGGAGAGGTAGGTATAGTTCAAGTCACATCCGGTGTAAGGCGTAGGGTGGTGACTTGGGAGCGGTGGCCGGGTATGCGTGTAGGCGTATAAGTACCATAGGGAAGAGTGTCTGGGCGTATTACATACTGTTTATAGTGAGTTGCTCGTTCGCATACAGTAGTACTATGTGTAGGTATGCACTGCACTTGTTGAGACGGGTAGGAAAAGTCTCTCATTTGGAGTAGTGTATGCCACTCCGAACTCCCCTCCCCCCCTGGCAGTAAAGTCCTCCGCAGACCTTCGTCGTCAAAAGTCCGCTTCGCCTTAGTGTCTCTCTTGAAAAAATCCCCTTAGCTTTAGAGGAGGCTCCCTCCTATCGGGACGTGCTGGGGTGCCGCTGTAGGAGCCATGTGCGTGCTTAATGTACATACTACCCATTTGGCTCCCGGCCGAGTTCGAGACCCATGTCAGGTACAGGTGCCATGTACCACTGCTGTGATGTCCTTTTCCCAATTCCAGGGGTTCTCGCCTTTGGTTCTCTCTCTTGCTCTCTCTCTCTCTCGACTACGGCGTGAACTTCTGTCCTCTCCCACCCCCTGCCGCCCTAAGTCCCAGGAAATGCGAGTCGACTACGGAGCAGGCTACGAAACCCTGCCCTGCCACGACGAGATTTGCTTAAGGTAGGGAGATCCATCTGTCTGGAGTCTGATGTGGCTCACTTGCACGCCCACCCAATTGACTGTTCATGCCTTTTCGTCTTATATTAACATCCACCCATCAACCGGAACTGCCAGAAGCCAATGACGTGGGAGTCTGGCCCAAGCCCCTAAAGCATGAGGAGAATGGGCGCGTCTTATTCACGCATTTTACGACGTGGCCCCTTGAAGTAACCAACTACTAGCCGTAACTAAGTATAGCAGCATTCGTTCCCCCTTCCGCTACCTAGGTGTGTTAGGACTACCGGGACGAGCAGTAGGCCACAGCCGACGTACGCATTAAGGTCAAACAGAGCAGGATTCTACTATACTCCATGGTATTCATTAATACACCTACATACACTAAACAAGAGGAAAGGGCCAACCTTGCTCTCTCTCTCTCTCTCCTCTCTCGCGTGCGTGTGCGCTTCCAATCACACCCCCCCCCCCCTTTCTACTGCTGTCTCTGCGAGTGTCTAAGACGTCTCCGTCTCTCCAGCGCTTATTCGACCTCCATCTTGCGGCCTGGCCCGTTATCCCTCGTGAGGTCGATGGCTGAGAGAGGATGGCTACAATCTCACCGGCATGGGATCCGCAGGGTTTCCTTGTCTCCGTGGCCTGAGGCTGTCTTATTTTTATTGTTGCGTCCTCACATTGCAGTTCCCTCTCCTCGACACTGGGGAGAGAGAAGACTTCGAGAGCAGTCTAGAGCGTCTTACATGCGAATCATAGGCACCATGTAAGACACACACGCCCTTGCAGGCCTAAAAGTTTCCGAATCCTCGATTGGTACTGGATGCCGAACCGAGCAGCAACCTGCCGAATTGCCCTGCTACATGCGCGAGGAGGGCCTGGCGCGCGGGAGGTTCGAGACAGGGCGGCGCATCCCTCCGTGGGCAATCCAGGTAGGTCGTAGATAACCCGCTCTCGTGTCTCGCGCACGTTCGCGTCCCCACGCATTGCAGAAAGGGAGTTGATTAGAGTAGGCCTCTCTCTCATTCGGGAATTTCTGAAAGCAGTAATGGGAGACGAGACGGTGTCTCGAGAACGCCTAGGAGCGGGTCTGGAATCGGTAGTGCTGGTGCAGAACGGGATACCGAGCGCTTAGCCAAGGCTGGAGACGCTAGCGACAGTTGGGAGACGCTTTTTCGCCGTGTCGGACCCCGCTGACGAGTGACGTGGGAATGGGTTTTGTCGTGCCGAAGCCATCGCGATCTTAAGTTCTTAGTGCGGAGGTATCGAACGGTATCTTGGTCCAGGTCCACCGTTGGGCGGGCCGGATCTATACCTATTGCACACATCGCTGTGGCGCATGCTCCCTCTGGTATGCAGTAGGAGGTAGGTACCTAACATAACCTGCATACCTCTAATCAATTAGGCGGGTACTCGAAGTAGGGTGCGCTTAGGGGCTGCGAGTTAGTGCACAGTCTATTGCGGTGTTAGCGACCCTTCAGAGGGCACCTAGCCTTAAAGGTAGGTTAGCCTACCTCTATCTAATTACCACCAGGAGCGGTAATCTGGTAGATCGAGTGGTATTTTTATGTATGCGCCTATGTACCTAATGTACGTATGTATGCGTCTGTGGCGGCCCTGTCGGGGGAGCCCGAATGTGCTGTGCATCGCTGCGTGAAGCAGACCATGTTACCCCAAGCAACCTGCATTGCCCACCGATCCAGGTAGGTATCAACCTTAGGTACTCCCATTGCACAGCCATAATCTCCAAGCTCGGTCGCCCCATAACTTATCCACCCCGGGTCAATGTACGTGCACAGTAGGTCAGGTACCTAGGTAGGTAAGGTAGGTAGGGAGGTACATAGCAAGGTGCACCGCCTCTTTTTCCCACCACCGCTTCGCAGCCATAACGCATGTCATATTACCCGCCCGTGGTGCGCAGCGCAGCGCGATGCTGGCAGGTTGCTGGGAGGATGCTGCTTATCGACAAGTGCGAGACGAGAGGATGCGAAGCTGAAGCCCGATTGGCACCCTCACTCTTCCAGTCGACCATTCTCACTCTACCACACGTCACAGCACCGGCAATATAGGCACGCCTGCATCTCGAGCGAAGCAGCGGTATGTCTCAAAAGAGTTGGTATCCAGCTGCCCTATGGCAATTTTGCTTCGAATATCTCCGGACGGGGTGGAGCGGTCAACGTCTGGTAAGCAAGTCGATGGCACGTCGGATGACCGCTGGGCACCGTCGTAGCATCCGGCGAGAGACGGTTGACAAAAAGACCGACGAAGCAAGGGAGATACAGCTACGTAAGACTCGCATACTCGCCTACATGCGCACGTAATATAGGTGAGCACATATACATACCTGCAACCTACCTACATATGTACCTAGGTGGCAGGTATAGGCAGAGTACAGGCAGGCAGGCAGGCAGGCAGGCAGGCAGGTTAGAGAGAGAGACAAGAGAGCCGCAGTTCACAGACCTCGGTGGCGTCCGAGCGCATGTGGTGGACCCGAGTGGTTATCTCGAGCGGGCCAAGATGGAAAAGGAGG